ATTTTGAAGACCTGCACTTAATACTTTAAAAGTAAAACTGATCTAATGATGGTAGATCAGCAAGTTACATAATACATTTTGTTTAATCTTAAAACTATTAAATACTATTAATCCATAACATATTTTTTTGTCTTTTCCTATAAGATTTACCATTTTAGTCAAATGGTTGTTTGATGATTAACTAATTTTTATTTGTCAACCTATTTTAGGGACACAATAAGCTCCAGTTTTAAAAACACAAACAGGGGAGCTATACTGACAACACATTATATGGAAGAGGCTGATGCCCTGTGTGGACGTGTGGGCATCATGGTCAATGGTCAGCTTGAGTAAGTCTAGACAATTTTTCTGTTGTAAGAAATTACTTAAGATTTTTTCTCATTACTCTTAATTTGAGCAAGTAGTCTATTTTTTTATGTGCAAAAAGGTTACTTGCAATTTTTTCTGAATGTTTGCTAAAATGTTTATTTCACCTTGTTAATCAAGACAATTGTTCCTATAGCATCAGTTTAATATCATCATTACTTAACCAATGATAATTGAATTACCTCATCTCACAATCCTATGATGATAAATATTTTAATACTGTACTAGAGCCCGTCTTTAGATGATGAATGTATTACTACTGTACTTGCTATTCATTTGCTGATGTGAGATAATCCCAATTTCTTTTTATTAAATAAATAACAATTTGTTATTTTCTAACCCAAAAGATGCCTGGGCTCCACCCAACACTTAAAGAACAAATATGGCAGTGGATACATTTTGGAAGTCAAGCTGGAAAATAACAATGTATCAGACATTGAGTCAAAGATGGATGATCTGGAAAATCACTTGAAAATGTTATTCCCAGGTGAAAGATTCTGTCAAGTAGTACACCGATACCTAGCGCAATGATATTGACATTATGGAAGTACAACATATTTTCTAACATAGTTTTAAAATTAAACAGAAATGTCCTTTGTAGCTGTTTTTTGCTACATTTTTATTTCAAATCTTTTTGTAAAAATGTTATCAACTTCTTTTTCAAAGTTTTATTTTATATTTTTATTAAAAAAATGTCTATTAATTCATTTGTATAATTTTGTCACTTGCCTTGGGGGTTAAACTCTATGTGTTGTCTGGTTTATAAACAAATAAACGAGCTATAATTAATAAATAAGTTACAGTAAATAAATATGGTATAATAAATAAATAACTTTAAGTTGGTTTTAATCTATCTAGGATAAGATAACGAAATAAAAATTAAATAAGAGATAGTGCCTTATAAAAATAATAATTGATTATTTTTGGATTTAATAACAGATCTATTTTACAGGTCTACAAAATGTTGAAAGGTTTCAAGAAAGAGCCCAGTATTCTATACCCAAAGATGATGTGCAAAATTTAGGCGAAACATTTGGTCATCTTGAAAGTTGTAAGACAATTGTTTGATATTTTTTATTTGTCCAGTTAAACATAAAGTTTGTTTAAAGACAGAAAATCAAACATGATATTAATTACAAAATAGTTTTTTAAAGTGAAATTTATAGTGAATAGTGAAATATAATAAAAATATGTGTTGTGTTACAGGTAGATCTACCCATGGGTTGGAAGAATACAACTTCAGCCAAAGTACATTGGAGCAGGTACACATATAATTTTTTTTAAATTTCAGTTATGTGTCTTCTACAGAAAAATTAACATTTTAGCATTATACTATTTTTTATTCAAACACATATTTTAATAGCATTTTTTCCTGTCATATTGTAATATACAACATGTGGAGTAGAGACGTCATGAGGGGGGGGGGGGGGGGAGTAGGGGATGCGGACTGCACCAGGTGACACCATTTAGGGGGGTGACACCAAGGCAAAAGTAACAAGATATTTATATAGAAAAAAGGGGAGGTGTGAAACCAACTAGATTTAAATGTTGCAAAATTTGCCTGAAAAAAAGTTTTTCTTGAGAGTTATAATAACTGATAGGTCAATCTACGTCTGCAGTGGGAGATGTATACATATATATATATATCTAAATATATATATATATAGAATTTTTGTGGGTGGGGGTGACACCATTAGTTGCCGCATCAGGTGACACCTGACCTAGTGACGCCACTGATGTGGAGATTCATCCACTGAGTTGTCAATATTTGTATACCCTCACTTCCCCTTCTTGTCAATGTAATAAATGGGTGACCCCTTATTTGTGGGATTAGTTTTTATGGAAGTGTTAAGTTATTTTATATATATTTTACTATACTTAAGTACAATACAGCCTTTAATTAAATTTTAATTAATTTTACTGTACACATTTATATATAGATCAGTATTTTATAACTATACTTTTTTTAGAAAAAAAATAAGAGATGCAATATTTCATTAGTCGTTAATTTGTTTTGGCAGGTTTTCCTGTATTTTGCCAAACTTCAAATGGAGGAAGATGAAGTTAACACCTGTGATAGACCCCGTCAATTGACAAATAGAAATGAGCCAGTCAGTCTTTGACCAGCTATTGTGTTGAGCCAACACAAATAATTTTTTTTACGTCATGTAAAATTTATATTTATTTATGTTAAGTTTTAAATGAATGTTGCTCAGTGCCTTTAACTTTGGTCTTTATTTTATTTCTTGTAAGCTATGCATAACTAAATACATTGTGCTATTTCACCTAGTTGCATACATTGATAAAAAAACTAAATTTCAAGTCCCTGGTTGAGATTTTAATTTAGGCTTCCATTATATCTCTATAGCATGACACTAATAGTAGTTCTGTATTGCACACACAATACCTTAGGTACGCAGGCTAATTATTTAAAATTCAGATAGAAAAGTCAAGTTTATGTGTTTTTTTTTTAGTGATAGCAGTACCATGATTATAATTGTTTACCTTGCTTGTAATTTATTAAAACATTTATTTTAAATAAAAGTAAGTGAAAAAAAAATCATTGGTGATTTTCATTTTAAATTCTCTTACTTTTGTAAAGTAAAGTTTAAAAAACATTAGTCTTAACCAGGGGTCTCCAAACTTTTCAGTCCGAGGGCTGGATTAACTATCAAATTTCAGTTCGGGGGCCAGTTTCTTCCAGGCATGTCTTTGATTTTTCTGGGCAAAGTTCCTCAGCCATCACCAACTAACGATTTTTCCTTGGACAAAAAGATCTCCGCGGGCCGGATGAGGGGACTTCGAGGGCCGCAACCGGCCCGCGGGCCGTAGTTTGGAGACCCCTGGAACAATTATATAATATTTTGAACTCTGTATGTTTAATAGCTTTAAAAGCTTCGCATATGAATTTTTTCTATTTCTTTTTTCTTTTTATGCTACCACTGTTAATATAATAATTTTTATAGTCATTTTTGACTGCGTTTAAAGCCAGCATCATGTTGCCAGTGTGGGTAATTTTGATGGTTTACAGGCTACAGATAGTCCTAGTCTGATATTTATTTATATTTGAGAAATAATCTTTTGCTTTTTAAATGTGCCAAATACATTGAAACATATTTTGTTCACAGGTTTACTGATTTTATTTTTACAATCACTAGTCTCATATAGATCTATATACCCGTATATATATTGTTTTAAAAAAGGCTATTTACTTCTATTTTTATCAGCTGGGGTATTTGTCAATTTTTGTTGTGGGATCTCACTTTTTGTTCTGACCCCTTGTTCTTTTAGTTGCTAAAATACATATCTATATTTTATAAACAATATTGTAACCTTAAGATGTATCCTACATTTTTCAGTTATTAAAAAATGTGTGACTATCATTGTCTTTGACTATTTATTTTACTGTTTGACTGTTACTTCTTTTAAGAAATTTGATTATTTATTTCAACTATCTAAAGCCAGCAGCAAATATTAATTATTTAAAATGATTTAGCCTATTTGCTATGAAAACTTTTGAAGAAAAAAAAACATGCTGAACTCCTTCTCCCCCACCCCCCCCCCCCCTTCCACTTTCTTATATTTGTTTGAATGGTCACAATTTAGTCTCATAAATGTCAATCACGTGGGGGGGGGGGGGATGTTAGATGATGTGTTACCTGGAAAGTAGTAAAGATGTTGTTGGATTTATTAGTTCACTATTCTAGTCAGGGTTTCTTTCAGACATTACTCTCCGCACAGAGCTTCTCTTCAAGGGCATAGTTAAATTTTTCGAGGATAGGGAAGTGGCAGATACTTGTTAATATTTATAGTTATTATACTTATAGACTAGTAAGTTTATTTCAGGGGGGTGGGGGGTGGACGTGACAACCCCCCCCCCCTAAAGAGATAACTGAAATGACGTCACACTCGAAGGGGGAGGGGGTGAGTAATTTTGTGACGGTATGTGATGAGGGGGTTCAGATGGTATGACGTCACACGTTTGCAATATAAAAAAACAATGTTAGTAATAGAATTTTTAACTATTTCGCGTTTTAGAAAAGTGTTTTAATAAATTGTAATAGAAATTGATTAAAATAGTAAAATACTCAATGTTGACTGAGTTCAGACAAGGTTTTGGAAAAATATCAATGTTTTAAGAAAAATTCAACTGCAAGTTTGAGTGGGTTATAGGGGGGGGGATGGTGGAGTCTGGCTTTTTGTGACGATGTGTGACGGAGGGGGGGGGGGGGGATTGTCCAAAAAAGCGTGATGTCATTTATGGATGACCATAAATAATGTTTGTGATTCACCAGACTGATCCGAGCAATGTCTTTGTACTGCCAAAATGGATTTGATAGTGCTTACTTTTTAACACATTAAATTAAGCAATGTCGAAATGAGAAATTGACAAACATTTTTTTTACTTAGGCCTAGAGCAAATTAAAAAATACTCAATACTTTTAAGATCTAGAATCTAGATCTAGAATCTAGATTCTATTTGTTTAAAAAAAAAACAAAGAATTTCGTATGCACTTTTAAATCTGTTTTTCTGATTTGGTTAGTTGAAGGAAAAACTACAGCCCACATCCAAACAAACGAAAATCTGCGCACCGTACCAAACAAACAAAGATTAAGATTTATTTCTAGATCTAAATCTAAATAATTACTTAAGTCTACTACTACACACATAGTACATAGATCTACTACTTATTGGGTAATATAATATGTCGTTTTATTTTTTAGGTAGATCTATGTAAAATCAGCCAAGTAATGTGAAAAAATCTATTCCGCGACTAGATCTAGATCTAGTAATGTGAAAAACCGGTGACTCTTATTCTTAATAATAGCCTTACTCTTAAAGTTTAAACTTAAAGTTTAAAGTAATAAAGAAAGAGTAAGAGTCTTACTCTTACTCTTTATTCTTTAAATTTTAATAATTTAGTTAGTCTCATAAAAATTCAATTTTCTTCAAATTATAAAAAGAATAGCATATAATTGTAGAGCTTTAAAAATGCAATCCAACAGTACCAATTTTATTAATTTAGCATAATCGGTTGATTAAATATAATTTTTTTAGTGTCGCAAATAAAATATATAGAAACGCGACCAAAAACGCAGGTAAAAAGTCAAATTCACTTGTTTTAAAGCTAGTAAGCAAGAAAAGACATGATTCTTTCTTACTATTGAAATCAGTTTGCTTATACCTACATTTTTTTACACCAAGGTGAAAGTAAATAGTTTATATAAATTTATAAAATGCCATTTATATAATTTATTGTATGTTTTGTGATGAATTTTCAATTGGAAAATACCGCATTTGGAAGCAGAAAGGTAAATTCTACAGAACAGATGTTGTTTGGAATGTTATAGATTATAGATCTAGGCCTATATCAAAATGTTTGTTTAATAAAATTCAATTAGAGTCCACCCATTTCTGATGGGTACCTGATATACATTGGGGAAATTAAAGGTAAAAAGTAAAGGCGGCTGTGAATATCGCTGACCACACGGACAATCACTTCATATGCCGAGGTCAAGAAACATGAACTCTACTTCATCTGCCAAATAGATTGCTTTGTCTACAGAGGAATCTTAATTAATGTTTACAGGGGCCTAATAAAATTGAGTTATGTTTGTAAAAACATTAGGCCTAAGCTTTAAAAACTTATTTTGGTCAATATCGGAAAAAATAAAAATCTTTTCGACTAAATGGGTTGAAAAAAGCTTTGAATTTGTTTCATTGTTTGTTATTATATCTTGTAGTATTTGGAATTGAAGCTTTCTTTCTTAATTACAAGTTGTATTAATTTCAAACCTTAATGTTATTTCTTTTTAATTCAGTATTAGCCTAAATGTAAGGTAGGCTACAGAATTCAGATATTACCTATGGTTTTGTGATTTTTTATATGTTTATAACATTTGTGTTTATGAAATGACCTAATGAAGTTATCAAGCAAACTGTTTTATTATTATTTTAATAGGCATGCAAGTTATAAGTACAAAATATAGATATCTAATCACTAGATCTAGGTCTAAGTTTAAGAAAAAACTACCAAAAGGGTTTGAAATACTTAAATATAGTACTAAAAGTAGCTATGTTTTGAAAAAAAAATATCTTAAACTGGAGACATTCAACTTAAAAGTCATTATAAAAACTCCACGATCTAGATTTATTTCTAGATCTCTAGTAGGAATACAGATTTAGAGGCTTTCCCATCAGTATCAATGTACTATCTTAGCTATGTGGGAGGTCAGTACGAGTTCACTGGGAAAAAAATCGGAACTGCCGTAGGGGGGTGGGTTTAGTGCGCAAATGCTCCTGACCGATTGCCAAAAGGTACAGAAATTCTAAAGATACATTTTAAAAGAAAAATGGACGGCTGAACTGCAGTTATCAAAATATCTGTGTAAGTAGAAGTATAAATAATAATATTTTACACAAATATAGCTGTCTTTTGCTAAATCTAGCTCAATTTCCACGAAAATCGCATCCGGTCGCAATAATTTTTATATCAGCTTGTCGGCCATTCAACAATCTATCACGTGTAGCAGACGCCAAACAGATTTACCCGTATGGTATTGCGCGAATGCTATTTTTAGCAACAGTGCCGAGACGCGATCGAAAAAAACGAACTAGAAAGTGGCCATAAAAAAGCGGGTCAGGGGAGGTAATTCAACTCGCGTTATGAGACTAGCTAAATAATTATTTCACATTTTGAGGAGGATTTATGTTTTGAAAAATACAAAAATGTTTCCTTGTTTCATTTATGTACCTGTTTTTAAACAATTGAATTAAAAATTTTCAGTAATAAATGAAGACTAGAGATGTTTCCAACAATGCAACCATGCTCATTTACTATAGCAGTGTCAAATATTACAGATAAATGAATAATAAACCTAAATCAATGGCTAAATAAATAGTAAATATATCAATATATATAGTTTGAATAGGCTAGAAATTAACTTTAATATTTAAACAGCAGTGTTTGCGAGCAAGATTTGCTACTATATAGTACAGGGGTCTCCTAACTTTTCAGTCCGAGGGCCGCATTAACTATCAAATTTCAGTTCGGGGGCCAGTTTTTTCCAGGCATGTCTTTGATTTTTTCACCAACAAACGTTTTTTCCGTGGACAAAAAGATCTCCGCGGGCCGGATAAGAGGACCTCGCGGGCCGCATCCGGCCAGCGGGCCGTAGTTTGGAGACCCCTGATATAGTATATAAACTGCACATTACATTACTAGCCTCGGAAGATTTTTACCCACCTAAAACATTAGATTACCACTTAGACCTATTGTTATGTTAATATTATTTATAGGGCCTAGTACTAATCAATTAAATTTGTCAATTATGACTGAGCACAGTATAATCTAAATTCTAAATAATATTAAATTATTTACTGTATCTCTATTCTCTATCATATAAAGATTATTTGAATAAAAATAATGTCATTTAGGTATGGGTATCAATAACAATCCTGTCAGTTGAAAATATAAATATTCTTTTCCATCTTAGTTCAAGCAGATTGGTGTGTCAGCAGTAGAATCTATAAGGTTAATGATGGCCAGTTTTTGTAAACAGCTCAAAGCCTTTCTATAGAGGAATATTTACTTAAGTAAAGAAATCCCATTGTGCTGCGCCAGGTAAGATTTAAAATTAAAAACTGCGTCTCGCAATTTCCCCAACTTCCTTCAGAGTGACATTTTGTTATGACATCTGAAGAATGAAGCATTATTACACCTGCAGAGTGACACTTTGTTATGATGACATCTGAAGGGTGAAGCATTATTACACCTGCAGAGTGACACATTGCTATGACACCTGTTTTGTTATAGACCTAGTAAACAGCAATTTGTACCATCCAGTAAGGCTGTGTACAAGGCCTCCCCCTAGGACTACTCAACTACTCCAAAGAATAACAAAACTATGTTCCACCACTCCACAGTAACACTATCCCTTATTACGCTGTTATCACAGAAACAGGTGAACTTTATTTGATGAGATCAATACCCAATATAACATCTTAAAGACCAGCGGTGGTCTGTATACTGCTGTTTTAGTTTACTCTAACACCATCTTTAGTCTAAGAAGATAACTGAGTCTCAATACTACTTATCTGATGGTGTACTGTTTTTAACTAAATTAATATAAGTTCCTTTGGTCTGTTAGTTGACTCTTTATAATCTGGGGGTAATTGTCTAAAATAGCATGACATCATTTACAGATTACCTCTTGTAGCTAAAAGCTGCAAGGCAATTTACACATTGGTCAACTACAATCCTCAAACCGCTATGCTTGTCCCTAGTTAACAGGGATATTGTGCAGTTCATAGCTCTTTAAAACTATTGTTACATTTTCATATGGCTGTTAAAAGAAATTACCAATATTTTGAGCTTTTGTAGTTTCATTTTCACTCTCCATATTACATCTTTGTTACTGTTTTCATATTAGTTATATGGAAGTTATTCTTATATTTGAAATATCATTTTTAAAAAATAGATACTAGAATCTAACCAAGATTTATGTAACTTTGCATGTTGTTCTAGATAACTGGAATCTAACAGCCACTCCTGCAGTAACCATGGCTAGCTTTTGGCAGCAACTGAAAGCCTTGTTATGGAGGAATATCTTACTTAAAAAAAGAAAAAAGTCCATGCTTTTTCAGGTAAATGTTTATATTTTTACTAATTTTAATTTACTTTTGACTCAATCCCTTTAAGACCCTGATGTGCAAAGGGCTGCAACTACACCTCTCATCCGGACTCTATTTTGGGCAGCTCTCTTTCATTGAGCATATGTAAATTTAGCAGCCCATGGTTCTCCTTCCTCTTTCTTTATGGGATTTTCTTGTCTCCTGGGGTTAACTTCATCTCAGGGAGTGCTTGATCCATCCATATTTGTGGGCTTAAAATTTAATATCCATGTCAATCAGTAGGACATTTTATATGCCATCTCATTTAGAATTATTTACATTAATTTTTTATTAATTTTGTGAAATATCTACTACAAAGTGATTTTATGTATAAGTTCTCTTTTTATTAATAAAATTATTTGATATATTTTTTTTTGTAGTAAAATTAACGCCTATTTTATTGAAAATGTCTTTTATAAAAAATTTTCAGGAATTTTTCTACCCTGTTTATTTTGTTGCGATCCTTGCCATAGTGAAAAGAGCAATCAAGCCCGACGTAAAGCCAGCCATGACTTTTCCTGTCAACAACCTTACAGACCTAAGGTTTAATAATGCATTTAATTTGAAACATGACATCTATGTTGTACCAAACACAGCGCAGGTAACTATTGAGAATTTTATGGATTTTTCTCACTGAAATATTTCAAATAAAAAAATAAGGGCTGGAGAATGAAAACTATAAATTTCTCCAACGAACTGTTTCCAGTAAAATATTTAAGTCCTGGAGAGTGAGAATTTTATGAACTTCTATATTGATAGGGATCAATTTATAGTTAGAAAGTATGGGGACTGATGAATGAGAATTTTATGAATGTATTTAAATATTTCTGATCAAGTTATATTGGGCTAACCACTACCATAGATCACTGGATTCTTTCCAAAATAAGTTCCCTGAGAAGAATAAAAGGCATCCATTAAATATTTGCTTTAATTATCAGAGGAAAATAAATCTGTATTTTCTGTCTCACTGATATTTTAACTCAACAGTTAAAAGGTTGATTGAATTGTCTGCTTTTAGACATTAATGTATGCCATTGCTGGTATTTTGGAATAATTTCTTTTTATTATTATTTGTTATTCAGGAAGGGACAACTTATTGCTTTTTAAAAATGTGTTTCTTGCTGTTTTAAACCAAACAGCTATATGAGCTATTTCCATGAAAATAAATTTGTTACAGTTAAAAAACTGGATGGCTGACATAGTTACTCAGCTGCCTGGAAACTTGAGTTACCAAATGTTTGCAACTGTAGAAGAGGCTGAGACTGCATACAGACACAACAGCTCCAGTGTTTTAGCTGGAATAATTTTCAGCTATAAAAATAACAAATACTCGTATGCTCTGAGGGTTGGCTATCACCCAGCTAACACAGTATGTAATACCAGGGTCGGCCCAACCTTGGCCCAATGTACTTATCTTGGCCAAACACTGGACAAGCTTACGCCAGGGTGCAGCCAAGATTTGTACATGCTTGCATCCCTTGATACCTTGATATTTAACCGTTTTTACCTTGGCTGCCAAGATTACACTGATTTATGTATTCACTGCAGAAATTTTAGTTAAATATACTTGTTAAACTTAATATATGTTAACTAAAATAAGCTATCTTTTAATATTATGCTCTAATTTAAACATAGTATTAATAACAAACTACGTAGCATGTGTTAAACATTTTGTTAAACTTTTTAAAAGTGTGTGCTCTACTGCCGCCGGCCCCTCTCGCCCATTGTCCCTTTGTTCACATTTCTTCACATTCCTTCCTATTGTTCGCAAGCCAGCATCCCGGTCCTTCGCCATTTTTCTTAACAAAAGACTTTGTGCCCAGTCACAGTAAAACAGGTAGGCCTACTGCAGCCATTTTAGTTCAACAGTGAGAAGTAGTATAACTTTATTTATGCAGAATCTGGAAAACTCGTATTTTTTTGTTGGAAACTGTATATGTCATTAAATAAAAAGTAGTTTATTTGAGGTAATGAAATGAGCCTAGATCTATAATCTATAGAATATTGAATATAGATCTAGCTAGATCTATAGAGATCTATATAATATTAATATAATACTAGATCTAGATAGATCTAGATTAGATTCTAATACTAATAACTAAAAATCGTAATCAGAGGGCTGTTAATTTTGACAGCGTTTTTTGTGTATTGAAACGTATGCAAGTATGTTTGGGATTATTATATTGATATATGATTATTTTTTATATGTATTTGTTGGTTTTCAACTTTAGGGGGGTGGGGGGCTTAAATGTTAATAAATTAATAAATAATCATTCACTTTAACTTAAAAAAAAAACAACTTAATTTTATTGTAGTAGTTGGCCCATTAGTGTAAGGATTTGAAACTGTCTTTAATATTAATTCAGAGAGAGGAACAGTAGACACAATTATAGAACAAATTTCTACATGTAAAACAGTGTATTTTTGATAATTATCAATTTTGAAAAAAATTAACTTAGTCAACTAGAATTCTAAATTGATTCAAGATTGTCATTCAAATTTCTATTACTGTTACAGCTTCCTTTGGAGAATAAGATGTAAGATTAAGCAACACTTAATTTCATGACCAACACAGCGCTAAGGTGGTACTGTTAGTAAGCCCTACTTATTGATCAACACTACTCATATTATCATATAGAGGACAGAGTAGGAAAATGGTTGAGGACACTATTGCTAAACATAAAACCAAGTTAGTAGTACATTCATCGGTTCACCTAACTCTGATATATACCCGATTTAAGACTATGAAATAAAAAGGTGGCTAGATATAGTGCTGACTACACAATCCTTTATATACAGATATCAAATAAACAGAGATACTGTACATAACTTGTCCTATTGGCACACGCTAGAAAGGGAACTTGACATTTTTAGACATTCTTATGATACTTGTGTACTATAGAATGATAGTATCATTTTTTTGAGTTTTGTTTAGGATTAGGCTTGGTTTTGATGTATCATTGTCCACAATTAGTACCTTGTTATTAATAGTCTTAAAAATGGAGTATCTAATCTGGCTATCATTTATTGTATTACTCACTCATTTTATTATTATATTTAATAACTAAGAAAGCCATTTATTTTCAGGCCTCCAGGTGTTGTGTGTATCAATCAGCCCACGAGATATATCAATCTTTTAATAAATTATAAGGTCCCCACTGCTTGATACTTCACCAAATACTGTCTACACCAGAAAATGACTAAATGTTCTTAACACTTAATAACTGTAAGTAAATAATAATATTCATTTAGTAATTTTTGCTTGCATTTGATGATCAGCATGTGTAGTTAATGCCTTTACTGATATTATTAAAATAATTTCAGACCACAAGCATTACTTCTAGGTCACTCTGAAGGGTCCAATCATTCAATTACTGAAATGATAAAGTTGATGAAATTGCTCAAAAGTTGTCCGGCATAGTCTTAACTCAGAGACATAGGGTAAGGGGTTTATAATATTTATATACAGACTATTTTTTTATTACAAGGTCTTTTTTTTTCACTTTTGTTTTTATATATATATATATATATATATATATATATATATATATATATATATATATATATATATTTATTTATTTATTTATTTATTTATTTATTTATTTATAAGTGTACACAGCAAGGAACTGCAGTTCTACTATTAAAATTATATATGGCCACTTTTTATTATTTACCTGGGTAGCATGAACACTCCCAGACCACCAGTCTTTATACCTATATAACTATATATAATATATCGTTACAAGGTAGCAAACAAACATGATGTTAGGGGCTTCTTGTTGTATGTTTAGTGCAGTGCAAAATAAAATAAACATAACAAATTTAGTGCAAAAAGAGCAGTGTATAGTTGTAATTATTTCATAAATGACTTTTAGTGTGTAACTTTTCTTTTTTAGAATGTGGATAGATTATGACATACCTTGCACAAATCAACAACCAGGCTTTTATTGGATTTGAATCCCAAAGGAAAGAGAAAGTTTGTTATCCAAAACAAACATGGAAAATATTAGAGACCAACAAAGCACAAGCAGGCAGAATGTCATGGACCCAATTTTGGGGAATCTCCCAAAACCAAGTATAAAAATAGAGAGGTGTGGTTGTGTCTCTCAGCTCCACAAGGGTCCACAAGAATGAGGACAACAGTGATTTTCGTAATAATTTTAGATCAGATTTTCAATTTTTATTTTGGATCAGTTAACAAGAAGATAAGATTCTCTTACCAAAATAGTCTAAGAAAAATGCGGATTTGTAAATTAATAAATTGTTTCCTTTTGTAATAATATAATAATTTAAGTTTGCATTATATGTATGTTTAGTGTAGATTTAGTGCCCTAAATGAAATGCAATATACAATTTAATTTTTTTTCTTTAAAGAATTAGTTGCAAATTTCTTTCATTATTTTGTTTCACTGTTCAATCTGAAAAAAGTTTGCTATATTTGTATTGACGATACTTCTGCTGGTGATATTTATTTCTAATTAATGAAGTAAATTAATATATATTTAGTTTACTATAATTAAATACCTCACACTCGAGGCAAAAAAACATATTTATTGAATATCGCAGTGATATTCCTGTTCTACACAATGCGCATAAACCCTCGAACCATCGGTCTTTTGAAAGATTGTACATTTTGTATGCACAATGGTTTTCATTTTAACACTATTTAACCACAACTATAATCTAGAGATCCTGAACATATTTTCATTCTGTTATTTATGTACAATGTACAAGGCAGACTAGTCCAGCATTAAACTGTAATATACCTCAATTAGAATACTTAGAATATACAAGCTATGCAATTAAATGTTGTTAGACAAATATTTTATACTTTTTATTTTTAATGTTATGTTTACCTAACATAGTACACGACAGCTTCTGTATTCTTGTACAGTAAATTAAGTTTTTACATTAGTTTAATTTAAACTGTACTTAACATCTGTTACATTATATGAAAATGTTTTGTATATTTGTTTTAATTTGTTTGTATAAAAGTCAAAATGAAAGTTACTACACTATTATTTACATATTCGTTTTCAATCAATACTTTATTGTAAAGTTATAGTTTTCTTACATTTGAATGGATGGTATAATACAGATTTTAATAGATGAGCAGTTCTTGTGTATGTATTGTTGCTTTACTACATTTTGATTAAAATTTCTTTCACATTTTGAAATTAACTTTGTAAATATTATGACTGATATGAGAATGGATATTTTTGTATGCTGAAAATCAAAATTTGAGCCAAGATGTAGCCAGGATATATTACAGGCTGAGCCAAGGTATAGCCGAGATATAGCCATTATTGGGCCAAGATGTAGCCAGGATATAATACAGGATGAGCCAAGGTATAGCCAATATTGGGCCAAGATATAGCCATTATTGAGCCAAGATGTAGCCAATATGGGGCCAAGATGTAACCATGATATAGCCAATATTGGGCCAGGATATAGCCAATATTGGGCCAAGATATAGCCAATATTGGGCCAAGATGTAACCAAGATATAGCCAATGTTGGGCCAATATGTAGCCGGGATATAGCCAATATTTGGCCAAGATCTAGCCAATGTTGGGCCAATATGTAGCCGGGATATAGCCAATATTGTGCCAACATTGCGCCAACATCATGCCGAGTTTCACTACCAATGTTTGGCCAAGGTTAAGCCAATGTTGCACCAAGATGTAGCCAATATTGGTAGCCAATGTTTAGCCAATATTGGGCCAATATATGTGTGCTGACTGGGCATGATATCCCTGGTACCAAAGACATCTACCAGTTTAAAGGAGGTAAAAGAATTTTGTACATTTCCTTGTAAAATATTTCTCCTACTAGAAAAGAGTGTTTTGCTTTCGTCTAGTTTACTCACCTATATTATAAACATTGCCCAATAAAATAAAGCACCCCTTGGAAGTAAAATTTGAACCTGACAGTTAATGGGGCAGAAGAATTATAGTTCACCTGTTTCTGTGACCTAGGCATATGAAGGGATATTATGGTCAGCAATATGCCTAGCCACCTTTACTTTCCCTAACATGAGTCAGGTACCCATCAGAGTAGGGTGGATTCAGGGAAGTTCTTTTGACAAGAACACAGAATTCAAACTTGTTACTTTCAGGTCAGAAGTCGTATGCCCTATCATCCAACCACACCTGCTCATCCTACCACACCCAGACTAATTTTTAAATTAACTATTTTAATAGTTTAAAAACAACTTTGACTTGCCTTAAAATTGTAAATATTTAACTTGAGAACACTTTAATTTTATTGGCAACTTCTTAATTATAGTATTAAATAAAATAGGCTAATACTTGAGCTTTTAATGAGTTTTTCGTAGTTTGTAAATAAAAACAATTAAATCAAGCATCTGGTTCTGAAAGTTAAAATGTTTTTAACTAGATTCCTGTCGCAATTCTAAAACTGGTACAGATGTAAGTTCTAACTGTGCTGTTAACAACTATCTAGCCACAGGATTTGTAATGTTGCAAGTGGCCATAGAAAATGTTTTAATGAAGGCAAGTCAAACAGGCATTAAATTTGTTGAGGTGTTTTTGAAGATTTGTTGAAGCTTTGACTGGACAAAAGATATTGAAAACTGACAACTGTGTGAGCTAATTATATTAAAGAGACTAAAAACTAAAGTGTTTAATTGGACTGTTTCATTGTAGAATATCTTAAGTTTTGTTACCTTTTGGACCTTGCAGTCTTTAGGGAGCATGATGAAGAGTTTATCTGTTTCTTTGACCTCAGGGATAGTGTGGTCAGCACTATGCCCAACCACTTTTACTTTCCTAATTTGAGTGACGTACCACCCATCAGAGCTGTGGGACTTTGGGACATCTTGCAGACTTTAGCCTGAACTAATTAGGCTTTAGGAAACAATACAACTGTAAAAGTTTAATATATTTTATGCCTTTCTGGTCATCCTAAATCATCACATGAAACTTTTTAAAAATTTAAACAGCAGTGATAGTAACCTAAGGTGCACATGGGTTGTAATAAGTGGTTATAATGTATCAAATTAGTCTAAAGTGCTTAAATGTGTGCTGTTTTTTTTTTTTGTTTCCAGAATGCAGGCCTTACATCCTTTGATTTTAAATCACGAGTAATTCAACTTCAACTAATGGACAAGGACAGATTTAACCCAGACACGAGTTACATCCAAACCTTATCCTCCATCTACTTTGTTTTCTCCTTCTCTATACTAGCCAATTTTCTGGCTGTAAATATTGTGGCAGAGAAGGAAAAGAAAATCAAAGAAGGAATGCTAATGATGGGCTTGAGAACTTCAGTATTTTGGTGAGTTCCTGTTACTCTTATGGTGCTGTGTGATTGAATGGTAGAGCATGCATTTGTTAATGTAAATCTCTTAAATCATTTTTACTTCCTTGTATACAGAGTATAGAAGAAATATTGTTATTGTGAAAAAAATTGAAATTGAGATTTTAACATCTTGATGTTTTAGAACTTCCTGAGTCTGAAAAACTTAACTTTGCAATCTTGTCTGTGTGTGTCTGTGAACACAATAGAGTACAGTTACAGCTAGGTTGATGAAATTTCATATATAAGTATTATCATTCTGTATCAACTTTTCAGCGATTTCTGTTAAGTGGAAGTGGAACTCATTCTACTTTCGGTTTTTTGATAGATAGACCAAATTTTACATACAAGTAGATCTAATTCTCTGCCCTCTTGCGAATTTTGAGAAATTTCCGGTGACTGGAAGTAGTACTTAACACTATTTCTGATTTCTCAAAAAACGCAAATGAATTTATAAAGTACTAATGTTCCGCACCATTATACACGCATTGTTTGATATTCATTTGGTGCACAATTATTTTTTCTATGAGGTTCTCTTCTGTTTTGAGAAGTTCAAGTATGTAAAAATTGATTTAATGCAGGGTTATATCCAGAGTTGCCATCCCATGTAGTGTTATATAAGAATATTTGAGAAAGTTTAAAGGAGATCCCTCCTGCTTTATTTATGCTTAAGGTCCAAATGTCTCTGTGTCTACCTGATCACTGACTCTGATGGGTATAGTTAATTTATGCTGTTTTTTTTTAAGGACATGGGCGGGTGTACTTTTCGTCATAAATCCACTAAATCATCGATTTCCCATTTTTACTTGATCTATACAGAATAACCATCGTTGAATCTAAAAATGACATTGTTATGACCCTAAAAACAGTATTTATTTATGAAAAACTGGGTTCAATGTAGTATGTACAGGGTCTTTTGTTTAATTTTTTGGTAAAAATAGCCATTTTTCGACCTAGAAAAGTACTATTAGGCTTCGCGGAAACCTAATGTGTTTCATATCAATGGAAAGGCCGTGACCTCCTTTCTTTATTTGTTCTAAAATTAAATGACCAATCAAAATACCTATTTTAATGTGATTATTTTTCTACATCATAAAGTTGTTTATTTTACTTAGTCGGGTTTTTCCGGTATGCAAATTTTTGACCTCAATTTTTTCATTGGCATACAACTGCGGAAGCTAGTTAGCGATTGGTCGTTTCGCTTCGGAAGTAAACATTCCCTTAGTTTCAGCGCGTTGCTAAGTTTGATCTAGTTTTGTTTCTCTAAGCTTCTGTGAAATACTTACATTATTTTAACATAATTATTTCAATTAAATATACTATTAACAGTTTAGACTAGTTTGTGTGAATTATCATAAGCAGAGAGACGATTTAATTTGTTTCTCTTTCGATAATGGGTAGAACAAAACACTCGCTAAAAATAGATACACACATCTAACTAATTTACTAAAGCTAGGGCACGTCCGAATGCAACTGATTGCAGCTACCTCTACTCAATCTAGCACTATTCAGACAAGCACTGGTGCAGATGTAATATGCACATTTACTAAGAAACTGCGGCAATGTAAGACACAGTTTTTACAGACAGAAGAAAGCACTGTTACATCTAGTACTGGTAGTGCTAATTGTAAACCACAGCCATGCAGAATTATTGTCGACTGTGATTTGCTTCTTGATGTTATCAATATATTTCCTCGCCCACTGTGATGTAGTGGCTACTATTGATGAAAAAAGTGTAATGGGTTTGCTTCAAGCATGGTGTGGCAGCAATAAAAATGTTGTAAACCGTAAGTATACAACTGCAAAAGAATCCAGAACAAGGCGTTTCACAATAAACAAAGACATCGTCTTATCATAATTGGCTTTAGACATGAGACCATGCAAAATATACTGCTGTTTCTGCGATAGCATAATTCAATTTTGGGCCCAGGCATGCTATGGCATTGCTGTCAAAAGAAGGAAACCATAGTTGAAGACCCAGTGAAGGACGCCAAAAAAGACGCCATGACAACTGCTTTACTACAGCTCTAGGTAAAACAAACAGCGCCAGAAAAAACAACTAACAGCTGAACAAGCTCAGAAGGAATATATTCAGCAGCACCATACTTCAGGCTATAAATGTGGTCGATTTTAGTGACATACAGCGATAAATTTTCATTTTTTGCAACTTTTTGTTAGTTTTTTGCGTTTTTCTCAGTTTGATGTTTTTTTGTACAATTGTTGAAATAACTTTGTTAATAATTATCAGAACTGAACTAAATTTGCTCCAGTTACTCTTTATATATGTTCAAATAAAACTGATAGAACACTTTTGGAATTTTTGTAAAAAAAAAAATTTTGTTGTTGAAATAGTGAAAAAATTGGACGAAATAATGAAATTTTTACAGTGATGTTTGAAAAAAAAAAAGTAAAAAAAAACTATTTTCTTTTTTGAAAATGTAATCTATCAGAAGTCTTAAACACATGTGTCTGCAGACTATATTACGTTTTCATGAAATTTGTACAAACCATTTTTGAGTTATTTCCATTTTAAAATCTTCAATAAAATCCAATATGGCCGCCGTCACCATGGCAACGGAAGATTTAAAAAATTAAAAAAAAATATTTTTATGCTTAACTCTTTGAGTTATAACTATTAGCCAAGTATTACATCTTTAAACTCGGAAATAAGGAAGTTGGTACTCATCACCCGCCCATGCCCTTAAACTGTGTAAGCATTATGGGCCAGCAAGTTGTGTATTAGAGTGCAAGGCTACGAAACTAAAACTATTGAATTCAGATCTCTGACTCAGTTTGTAGGAGAAAGTAATGGCGGATGGGCATAGTGTCGACCTCACTATCCTTTCAAATGCAGTGGTAAAAAAACAGATGAATTCTACAATCATCAACCCAATGGACCATGTTGTTCAAAAAGGTAATCTTTTTTTTGTAAGCATTATCTTTCATAAAACTAATGAGTGAAATTTATCTTTTAGGTTATCCTGGGCTCTGATATACCTGGTCATGGTCATCCTAGCTTCTGGGCTGATGATTGCTTTCATAGTCGTCTCAAAGTTCTTTCAAAGGAGCAACATGTTACTTCTGTACCTGATCTTCATCTTGTATGGGTGCTCTTCTATTGCCCTGGCGTTCATGTTGACCCCATTTTTTAAGAAGTCCAAAGTGGCCGGGGTTGTGACTGGTTTCTCCACTGTCATCATCAGCTGTTTACACTTGGTTGTCAGCCAAACTAGAGATCCCAGTAGCTATGATTCTAAGCTGTCACCTGGGGTTGAATGGCTGATGTGCTTGTTGTCTCCCTTGGCATTTTCTTCCGTTATAGATAAGGTAAGCATCGGCTCATTTTTATTATATCATTGCTGTTGACATGATAAAAAAAAATTCATAATTAAAAATTGGGCTACATGTATAATCTTAGCTATTCACATTTCTGAATACATAGAAAATGTATTTTGGATAGTGTTAATCGTTATGACATTACCATTTTGTTTTTAATACTTTGCTTTAGAATGTTTATCTGTTGAAAGGATATTTTATTTTCGTAAAGCTGCCTTTCTTAATTGGTGCTACATTCCATTACTTTGATTAGCATAACAGTGCATATTATCTCATATGTTTTTAAATAGTATTGTTCTGTTTGATTTAGGGAATTTTCCTGGACATTCAATACAATGGATTTGGTTTTGATGACTCTTTAACTTTTGGAAAATTTCCTCTCTATGCCCCTATCTTGATGCTCATCGTGGACACCATTCTTTACTCATTGTTAACAGTTTATTTTGACAACGTTATTCCAGGCAAATAATTTATTTCTTTACTTCATTTGTTAGAGGAAGTTTAAATACAGTTTTGTTTAGAAATAAAGGTTTCTCTATTTATCATGAGGTCTAACAAGGTAATAAGTACCTTTTTTCTATTCCAGGTGAATATGGAGTCAGATACTCGCCTTTTTACTTCCTCAAGGCTTCCTACTGGTGCTCATCTTCAATTAATCGACAAGAGTCACTCAGGCGTATAAGTGCGTCAGAGAACAGATTGGAGAATTCAGATGTGGAACCTGTTTCTAAAGAGATGGAAGTGAAAGTTGGCTTAAGGTGATCCAGCATTTACTCATGGCATTGCTTTTTTGTTTAAATTATTTGCTTTGTTAAAATGTATAAGCCTACTATTTTTCCTTTTCAGAATTTCTTCCTTGACCAAATCCTTTGTGCAGAACAAAAAGACAATGAAGGCTGTAAATGGTAAGTTGTTGATTTAAAATTGTAAACTATGGGGTGTGTAGAAGGAGTGAGTTGTGAAAAAAGATCTCATTATTTTTCTCTTTATTAATGACACTCTACACACTTATATTTAAAGGGTACTAGATTTTATTATCTTTATTAAGTAACATTATTTTTTAAAAATATAACCTGTATCTATTATAGCCTATGTCTAATATAAATGTAATCTGTATGATTAGAAAACTAAAATAAATACGAATTAATTTATTGTAAATATTGAAGTGTTGTTCATTTTATTTATTTAGTATTGAAACTTGATATAACAATGAATATTTTTTATACATAATATTCAGTTGTTCATGTTTTCACTATACGCATATATTTTATAATTAAACTACGAAACAAGGTTATTTGATTATTTCTTTCTTTTGATGGTAAGGAAAAGCATATTTTCCTAAAAAAATTGCCTTTTCTTTTAGATTTTACTTTAGACATATATGAAAGTCAAATTACTTGTCTCTTGGGCCATAATGGAGCAGGAAAATCTACCCTTATTAACATGTTGACAGGAGTAGTGCCTCCTACATCAGGAACTGCAACAATAATGGGCTTGGTAAAAAAACATTTTCATTACACTAAATGTTGAAAAACGTTTCCTTTTTTTTTCAATCTAAAGAATCAGCTCATCTAACATTTTAAGTTTAAATAATAGAGTAATGTGTTTTCAAAATTAAGTAAATTAAAGGATTTGTTGCATTACTTTATTTCCAGAAAATTACAGACAATAAACAACTAGAGTATATAAGAAATCTTTGTGGCATATGCCCTCAACATAACATTCTTTATGATGATTTGTCATGTGCTGAACATTTAAAGATGTTTGCCAACATCAAAGGAGTTCCTGAACATCTAATCAACATGCGAGTAAGTGTTTTAACTTTAAAGCTACTGAACTACTACATTAATCTTTTCATAGTTTTTTTTTTAAATTTCCAAAATAGTATGTCACTCCTTTTTACATCATCTAGCATCAATTTAACATTAACATGTAATTTTAAAATGTTTTTTCTTGTAGATTGAGTCAGCTTTGAAGGAAGTAGATTTGTCTGACCAGACTCACACATTTGCTCAAAATCTCAGTGGAGGCCAAAAGAGGAAACTCTCAGTTGCTATTGCATTGATTGGGGATCCAAAAGTGAGACTTGTATTCTTTTTTAAAAATTTGATAAAAATAACAAAAAGCTTGTCATTTTGAACACTGAAAAGTGTTTTTATTTTTTCACTAATTTTCATATCATAAAAATGTATTTTTGTAAGTATAGTAAGAAACCATATTTATTGATAGTTACATTACTTGAAATAATTAAATGTTTAATTCATAAATACAAAAGAAAATATAAATATGTCATTCAGACACTATTTTGATGTTGTCTCAATTAAATCATTAGATCCAACAAAGTTTAATCCTTGAGTCGTACAATTTAACACTTTAATTAGGATAATTAAATCTAATAGGCATGTGTTTTAACACAATCATTTAATCAGCTTCTATCATATTATACTTATTTTTAATGCTTAATTGTTTATTTATATACATGTTACAAATAAGAAAAAATATCTGGTTAAAATAATGCTGAATTGTATATATTTGTCATTGTCATATTGGGCACTAGGTCATAAAAAAGTCAAATAATCAGAATAATGTAGATAAAAAAATAAGTGGAATATTTCTTTTTAAAGTTGATCTTCCTGGATGAACCAACAGCGGGCATGGATCCCTTCTCTCGTAGACACCTTTGGTCTCTTTTAAAAAAGAAAAAAGAAGGCAGAGTTATTCTTCTGACCACCCACTTTATGGATGAGGCAGACATCTTATCAGGTAAACTCTTAGTCCAAGTGTTGTGAGCTGATTGTAAATAAGATCATACAAGTTGCTAAATATTTTAATGAAAATATTGCTTAGTTAATGAAACAGTAGCAAACTAATTATTATAACATCTTAATAAATTGATCATCATGAGAAATTTAAAAAATAGCTTGTTGTTAAAATTTGTTTATATTAATTTATAACTGATTATCCCTTTAAGTGTAGAGATCATTTTACCTAAAAAAAATTTTATCAAATTTTGTTTAGATGATGTCATCTTGTAGACCTATCTATTTATAAAATTGAATGTGTGTGTGTGTGTATGTATCCCTAATGCATTACTACACCATTTACTTTTGGATGTTATTGAGAGTACTCCCTGGAAGGTTTCTGCAAAACAAAAAATTTAAATAGGCTATTCTCTACTGACACAATGAGCTACATTATTCTTTGACTAAATTGATTTGAGCGCGTCCACCAACATCATTGGAGATTTGACTCTCTGGGCTCCCTCTTGAGTACTGTGGCGCCTACGTTCTTAAAGAGTGTGACACACTGGTAATTATGAGCATCCTGGGGTGGTTTGGCACTTTTTAAAAAAACATATACTCCACTGATATGATAAGATGATATAATCATTAACAAAATTGAATTAGGCTTGTAGGCCTGCGCCCCGGAGGTCAGGTGACCTGAAGCACTCCATGTGAGCACTATTGCGCCTACATTAGTTTAAAGAGCACCCTACAAAAGTGACACAGTAACACACAACATTCAACCTGTGGCTCCTAATAGCACCCAGTGACGCCACTGACACCTGGGCAGTTGCCAAGGTGTGTTCTACATCACTTTAACAGAAGGTGATTAACATACACTCAAGGTTTTCATACTGTATGCCCTGAGGTGTCTGGGCAGTTGTGTGGACAAACCCACGCCCCAAGAACAATGATCCAAGAAATACAGTGCCTTCTTTGTAACTCAGTTTTAGAAAAGAAAGTCTTGCGTCTAAAATTGCATGATTGGTAATACATCAGTCAAGTTACACTTCTAACTATAATTTTTAGTAACACATTTAGAACCCCTCAAATGACACAGTGTGCGTTTATTTTACATTATTTAATCAGCAGATCGGAAAGTGAGGATAAAATATTACGTCAGCCTTTCTTTTTTATGTACAAATTAAATTGATCATCTCTGTAGACAGGAAAGCTTTTATCCGCAATGGAAAACTACGCTGCTGTGGATCCTCCATGTTCTTAAAGAAAAAATTCGGTATAGGCTACCATCTCACGTAAGTATCCCTGTCATGTTTTTTCTCTTGCAACTTTAATTTCTGCTCTTTAAATTTTGCATCCCTAATACTATTAGCATTAAATAAGAATATTTTTCTGAAATTCTATTTTTAAAGTCTAGTCCAGTTCTTCAAAAAATAATCTTAACTGTTTTCTTTAAGCTTTCTTCTTCTTCGTTCTTAATTTTAGTATTGGAAAAGATCCCCTCAAACACAATTAAGTATACGTGTCAACTGGTTATTCGTAATAAAGGCCATTGACTCCGATTTCAGCCTGTTTTTCTTTTTGGGCTTGTTTCCATAGCCTTTGTCCAACCAAAAACAAACAAGGCAGCAGTGTTAGATTTTGGCGTTGTCTCTCCTAGAAGAGTGGCTGTTGCCAGCTAACGAGCCTCATCTGCACACGGGTTCGAACTCGAGACTTCGGTTTATCAGCCATGAGCATTACCAACTCGACCACGCCAACCTGTTTAAGCATTAAAAATAGTAATTTTAATATTAATTATTAGAACTTATGTATAAGATTCTTGTTCATGAATGAATAGAGATTTTCATTGTTATGAAAACTTGATTTTCTGTTTAGGATGGTTACAGCCCCTGGATGTCAGGTTGATGAAGTTACATCAATGCTGACTTCTGTAATACCCAGCACAAAACACCAAAGAACTCATGGGAAAGAAATCGCTTACACTATGTCACTTAATGATGTACCTAATTTTTCAAGTAAGATTTATTAGCAATCTCAAAAATTGTCTGTGTCTTTCACTGTTCAAATATTGGGCTATATGCTTAATAGAAGTGAGTTTGATATTTTATCTATTGCTATAAGCCTCACAGGCTATGATTAATTACCTAAATTGTCGATTGTTGGTTTTAGGTAGAGTAATAGATTCACTCCCTAACACTGCTTAATGTTTTCATATTTCACTGAACCCAAGATACAGTTCCATCTTGAGTATATGAATTAAGATGATTTAATTTTTTGTGTCCAATTTTAAAAAATATTTTCTGGCAAAAACCAACATCAAATAATAGTTATCACTTAACTTTTCTTAAGTGAAATAAAAAAATTATTGTGTCATTATTTTACCATTTCTAAATCTTTGCACCAACCTTTTTCTTTCAGCCATGTTTGATGTAATTGACAGAAATGCTTTGAACTTGGGCATTGAAGGCTACGGGGTCTCCATGACAACATTAGAAGAGGTCTTCTTAAACCTGGGTAAATTTCCTGCTATTTTAGACACGTTTGACCTAAAGTAACCAGTAACTGTATGACCCTAAACATTTTCTGTTATGAATTACAACATATCGTGATTACAATTAATTCTACTTAATCTGGACACATACAGACAGAAGCATATTGATCTATTTCAGCAGCTGTCCTTAATGTGCGAGGTTTACAGAAATGCTTCTATCCTCTCTTTAGAAATTTGGTGCAAATTAATGGTTGCCTCAATAAATCAATATCCTGATTGAACAAAATTGATTGAAAATGTGTCTTCAGTCAGTCAATCATCCCAGAACAGGGGGGGGGGGGTGTCATTGAGGCATCACAGTTAATTTTTTTCATCATGCAATCATACTCAGTCTTCTGCTGCTTTTAGAAAAAGTATTACAAAATCATTCAGCTCTAATATACATTTGCTAATGTTGCAGAGACAGATGAATTTATGGAGCCAAATGAATATGATATGGCCCAAGTGAATCTCAGCTACAACCTGGCTGAAGATGCCACAGAAGTTAACATACAGAGCCCAGACAATATTGACTTAGAAATTTTTAAACCAACTGTAAAGGGCGCTAGTTTATCTTTTCAAAGATTCAAAGCAATGTTGAAGGTAAGGATTCCAAATCTTCAAACCAACTGAGCAATGTGCTAGTTCATCTTTGCAAAGATTCATGGCATTTATGAAGGTACTAATACACTCATTATGTTTTAAATATAAATATCTGTAAGTATAAAAGTGTTTGTCCCCGTGTCTTTATGCATCTGGATAACCATGAAACTTTGGGGTGCTAAAGAGAATACTCCTGAAAAGGTTTCTGTGGGGAAAAAAATACTTTCTTAGAGCTGGTGCCCCATTAGGGTGTGATTGTTATCTATAAATAAAAATAAAAGTCAAATGAAGTTATCACCCTGAATTTCTGAGCAGTTATTTTAGCACTTAGGATTTGTTAATTGGGCGTCCTGCATAGGTCAGGGCGTGACGTTTGAGTGACTCAGAGTGCCTCAGGAACCCACGTGAGCACTATGGTGCCTATGATCATCTTAAAGAAGGCCATACACAGGACATAGGGTGTGGCCTGAATGCAAAAAACAATATTTTATGCATCAGATACTGGTTTTGATTCTTTTTATTCATAATTTAAATTAAAAAAATAGGGGTTTAAGCTTGAATAATTTTTTCTGTAAGTTGATTTTTAAAAGTTTTTTTTATCATTATTTTCAATAAATTGAAATACTTGTCCAAATATAGATACCATAAATACATTTATAAAATGTTTCCTTGGTCTAGCTATTTATACCAACTATCATACATAACAAAAACCAATTTTCTTATTTTTAAAAGACCTAGCTACACATGAATTAAAATCATAAAACTCAGAAGTTCTTAGTAACATTTAAAAATTAAAAGTTAGTTCATTTTAATCTCCCTCCAACAACTTTTATATGATTATTATACAAGAAATTAACAATACAACTTGTATAAGAAATAACAGTATTTCTGTATAAAAGAATTAATCACTAGCACTCATTAATAAAAATTGCTTTTGTTTCCATATTTTTCAGACTTTGGGTTAATAGTTTAGTAATAGTGAAATAAACATTGATTTGGTCTAAAGTAATTGACATCAATTTGGTGTGATGTAATTAACATTGATTTAGTCTACTATAATTTTATTTGATCCACTGTAAAAATAAAAAATTTTTGGTCCACAGATTTGCTTACTTTTAGTCATACGCTGCTTGATTTCTCTCATCTTTCAAATATTATTACCCGTGTTGTTTGTGGTCATTGGTTTGGTCCTGGCAAAGGTGGATAATGTGACCCCAACAGAATACCCCACGCCTTTACAACTGAACACATCACACTATGCCAGTTCTTTAGGTGACACTACTCACCTTCCAGGGCTGTTGGCTTATGATGCTGTTGGTAAGTGAAATGTTTATCTTTAATATACAATGTTTGCTATGGTACTATAAAAAACATGAAAATTAAAATTATTAAAATAATTGGTGTTTTCTAATGCCTATATCACAATAATTGTTACAGTGCTTTTTAAGTTATTAGTTATACTATATGTGTCATGGAACCCAGTGATGAAGTGGTGGAGGGTGCATATTACTATCTTGCTAGTCTTGAGTTCAGTTTGTAGTTTGAGGCTAAAGGACATCCATGAGTCAACTCTGCTCCTATGTGTACCTGAATGAATTCTGGAAAATAAAAGGTTACTGAAAATAGTGCTGACCACACTATTCATTCATTTTCCAAACAGATACACACTATTTCATCCATCCCCATGGACCAGACTGGTTTAATGAGGATGGGGGGAACTCAAAAAATGTTATGTAATAAGCTTGTTCAAATTAAGCTGAATTAAGTGAAAGATTAGATTTTGTGTGTTGGACTTGAGTGAATTTGTCGGTGCAAGGTAAAAATTGTCATTTATAGTGGATGTCTTTTGTAGACATATGGGGAGTTGTACTTAATACACCTCATTATTGAAGGGTACTGAAAAAATGCTTACTAGTATGTTAAGTAATATTTCCTTCCCTAAATTTTTTTACATTGTCACTGAAATAAATAAATTGTATGCCTTTTTTTTGGTGCATTTTCACAATCTTTCCTTAGATTCAGCAAACTCAAAGTATTTGATAGATGATTGGAAATCATATCTAGCAGTTGACAGCTATCCAGCTAAGACCAAAAATACATCAGCTGTGGCACCACATTTCTTGGGTCTTCAGATTAACTCTCTCACACAAAAGGTACTCCTTCTGCATATAGTCTAGGATGAATATGCTGTATAAATTATTTAATATCCCACAATATCCCATAAAAAGTACTGGACATCTTAATATTGAGGGGTTCAACAATTTTGATACATATTTTAATAAAACATATTTAAAATATATAATGCTGTTTGTTTTTTCACTTATGTGTATTTACTTTTTACTTTTAATTTTTTCACAGGCCTTGACCAACTTTGTGATCATCTACAATGACACAGCACTACACAGTATTCCTGTTGCAATCAATTTTGTCACCCACAGCCTTTTGAGAATGTTCAACATATCCACATATATTGAAGGGAATAGTTTCCCTTGGCCTGAGGTTTCAGCTGCAATAAAGTTCAGCAGTAAGGCCATGTCCTCTGTCTTGATGGTTGGCTTGGCTTTTGTTACTGTGCTACCAGGTTTTGCTGGGGATGTAGTTAGGGACAGAGAGGTGAGTCAGCCACATCTGTTATAGAAACATTACTAGATCTATGCATCAGCTGGAAGTTATTCTTTACCTGTAAGTTGTATATCTATATACTGTTAAAACTCAGCTTTGTTTATGTGTTTGTATATACATAATATTTATTCATATTGCTAGATCAGAAGATCTGCTTGAATATTGAACCATATGCTATGAACATGAAATAAGTCTTCAAAAATAGTATATAAAAATGTCTAATAAATACTCACGTTTTACATAGAAACAATTTCAAAAATTAAATTTAAGCTACCCATTGTTCCAAATTCAATATTTGTCACTTAGTGAATATAAAAAAATGTATGTATAAAGTAGTTTAGTTAGAATCTTTACAAATATCCATGTTTTGATTTAGATCTATTACAATTTAAATTTAATCTTTTAATTGTTGATACATGAGCTAGTGAAGTTGTTCAAAATTTAAAAACAATGTGATTCATTATTTTGGCTTTTAATTTCGCAATTGTTCTTAACTGTTTTCCTTTTCAAATTATTGTAGTTGAAGCTCAGAGGACAGCTGCGCATAGCTGGGGTAACATTTAACCAATACTGGGGGACCATTTACCTGGTGGACTTTTTAATTTACCTCATACCTTCAGTTAGTGTACTCATCATTGTGTTAGCTATGCAGGTACGTTTATGTTTGTTGATTTTATTTTTAATCAATTAAACTGTCTTCATCTCAATTTTTATTAAACCAGTTCATACTGTAAATGTATTTTTGAGATAAATGAAAAAAAAAAGTTTCCTTGCAAATTTTGATATATGGGGCAAGTGAAGTAGAGTTCATCTGTTTCTATACGTCAGTAAATAAAGAAATAATATAGTCAGCACTAAGCCAAGCTGTCTTTACTTTCCTTGATTTTAGTCTGAATCCTATCATAGCTGGATGGACTGAGGTATGTACTACAAGTTCAATTCTGAGAGTTGATCTGGCCATTGGTTTAGAATTTATACACTCTAACATTCCCATTAAGTAAATGCGATCTTAAATTAATTGTGAGACTTTCTCTTCTTCACCATTTATTTTTCTTAGTGAAGCTTAGGCCATTTAAAACATCCTTCCCTGATTTTCTCCTTTGCTGTTTTTTCCATATCTTCCCAAATCTTTCCAATAATATTGTTTTTTTTTAAAATTCTCTGCATCCTGTGTTTTTGTGACCTCTTCTGCTTCTTGATACTTGTGGATTCCATAAACTTAGGTAATTAAAAATATGCATATTTTACTTGTGATAAGTTTTTTCCCCATAAATGTACAATATGTATACAAATTCCTGACTTGGATTCTATATATCAGTTATTTCTGTAAATGTATGTGTACCAGTTATTGGATTAGAAAGATGCTACACGTTTTTTTTTCTATCACTCTGTGTCCAGATTCCTGGCTTGGATTCTGAGGGAGCAATAGCTGCACTTGTCCTGATATTTATCACCAACATACCATCCAACATTCTACTGGCACTTGTGCTCTCCTTTCTCTTTGATAAAGCCGAATCATGCTACGCATACCTCTCACAGATTTTAACTATGGTATGTCTAGAAACGTTAATGGCTGCAACTAGTGTTAATTATGTCACTGAAAAAAATTTTATTGAAGAATTTGAGTGACAGAAACTTATTTTTATATGACAGCAACCAGGTATAATAACGTCACTTATTGAAATTTGAGAGAAAAACTTAGTAACAGCAATTAGTCTTAGTTAACCAACTTGTATGAGAAAATCTATCTGTGTAGGTAATGGAACAATATAAAATTTAATGTAAACAAACCAATAGACAATTATCTGTCTTACTTTTGCTTTGCCCTAAATAAAACAGTGTGGTTGTAAGTTTCTATGCTGTAAGTTAAATAGTGTAATTGTAGGTTTCTATGTTGAGAATAAAATAGTGTTGTAGGTTTTTGTGTTTTAGGTTTATTATATAAATTACTAGCTGGCTAGACCCTACACTTGCCTCTGTGAAAAACCTATCTGTAAAGGACTGTGACGCGTGTGTTTATTAAGCAGCATATACCCATATTGCCTGGGTTTTAAGAAATATTTTACTTTTCCAATTAAATGTCTATATGCAAATATGGATGTTTGAGAAAATAACACATAACACTAAGCTAACTCTAATCTTAACCCTTACTACAACCAACCACAACAAAAACCCAAAACCCAAAAAAAATCAAAAGCGCAAACATAAACACAAACAATATCAGAAACATAAATGTAAACATAAGATATTTTAGAAAAGGCTTCTGTTATTGATAAAAAATAATAATTAGAAACAGTATATTCAGTATGTAAAATAAATAAAAGGTAGCTTTTAAAATATGTGTGTTTCACCTATCACATTGCACTTTATCAATCCATGCTAATTAGATAATAATTTTTTTTCCAACATTAAAACAAAGAAAAAGTAATTGGGTTTTTTTTTGTAAGTTATCTATCAAGGGAAGTAATTGGTACAATGGCATGTAATTTGTATAATTTTTTTCAAACAAAATAAGAATTTTTGTGAAAGGTAATTCATTTTGTTTGATTTTGTTCTTTGCGAAATACGTCAATTAAAATGATCAGTTGTAAAATGAAAATTTAGTTTGAACATGATCAATATAGAGTTTTCTAATCATCAGTTTAGATTTTAGTAAAAAAATTAACACTTCAAAAATATTACACAATGGTGATCAAGTCTCAAGTTGAGTTTCTGATTTTATGCAAGTCTTTCACAAACATACATACATACATAGACAAAGTCCATTTGAGCTTTATAGATTAGACTATGGTGAAAAACTAAATTGTGAAAATTGTGTTGCAGGTTTGTTTGTTGCCTTACCTCACAGTCTCACTTGTTGATATGTTAGCACATAGTGAAGCTGCCACAGTCATCCATTACATCTTTTGTATTTTTGATCCTCCGTATACCATCTTTGGGGGCATCTACTACATCAGTCGGGTGAGTTAACTACAATCTACCAGGTAAGTTAACAAACTGACCTGTTACAATCTACCAGGTAAGTTAACAAACTGACCTGTTACAATCTACCAGGTAAGTTGACAAACTGACCTGTTAAAATCTATTAACTAACTGACCTGTTACAATCTGCCAGGTAAGTTAACAAACTGGCCTGTTACAATCTACCAGGTAAGTTAACAAACTGGCCTGTTACAATCTACCAGGTAAGTTAACAAACTGACCTGTTACAATCTACCAGGTAAGTTGACAAACTGACCTGTTAAAATCTATTAACTAACTGACCTGTTACAATCTACCAGGTAAGTTAACAAACTGACCTGTTACAATCTACCAGGTAAGTTGACAAACTGGCCTGTTACAATCTACCAGGTAAGTTGACAAACTGACCTGTTAAAATCTATTAACTAACTGGCCTGTTACAATCTACCAGGTAAGTTAACAAACTGACCTGTTACAATCTACCAGGTAAGTTAACAAACTGGCCTGTTACAATCTACCAGGTAAGTTAACAAACTGACCTGTTACAATCTACCAGGTAAGTTGACAAACTGGCCTGTTACAATCTACCAGGTAAGTTGACAAACTGACCTGTTAAAATCTATTAACTAACTGACCTGTTACAATCTACCAGTTAAGTTGACAAACTGGCCTGTTACAATCTACCAGGTAAGTTGACAAACTGACCTGTTACAATCTACCAGGTAAGTTAAACTGGCCTGTTACAATCTACCAGGTAAGTTAACTGACTGGCCTGTTACAATCTACCAGGTAAGTTAACAAACTGACCTGTTACAATCTACCAGGTAAGTTAACAAACTGACCTGTTACAATCTACCAGGTAAGTTAACAAACTGACCTGTTACAATCTACCAGGTAAGTTAACAAACTGACCTGTTACAATCTACCAGGTAAGTTGACAAACTGGCCTGTTACAATCTACCAGGTAAGTTGACAAACTGACCTGTTAAAATCTATTAACTAACTGGCCTGTTACAATCTACCAGGTAAGTTAACAAACTGACCTGTTACAATCTACCAGGTAAGTTAACAAACTGGCCTGTTACAATCTACCAGGTAAGTTAACAAACTGACCTGTTACAATCTACCAGGTAAGTTGACAAACTGGCCTGTTACAATCTACCAGGTAAGTTGACAAACTGACCTGTTAAAATCTATTAACTAACTGGCCTGTTACAATCTACCAGGTAAGTTAACAAACTGACCTGTTACAATCTACCAGGTAAGTTAACAAACTGGCCTGTTACAATCTACCAGGTAAGTTAACAAACTGACCTGTTACAATCTACCAGGTAAGTTGACAAACTGGCCTGTTACAATCTACCAGGTAAGTTGACAAACTGACCTGTTAAAATCTATTAACTAACTGACCTGTTACAATCTACCAGTTAAGTTGACAAACTGGCCTGTTACAATCTACCAGGTAAGTTGACAAACTGACCTGTTACAATCTACCAGGTAAGTTAAACTGGCCTGTTACAATCTACCAGGTAAGTTAACTGACTGGCCTGTTACAATCTACCAGGTAAGTTAACAAACTGACCTGTTACAATCTACCAGGTAAGTTGACAAACTGACCTGTTACAATCTACCAGGTAAGTTAACAAACTGACCTGTTACAATCTACCAGGTAAGTTGACAAACTGGCCTGTTACAATCTACCAGGTAAGTTGACAAACTGACCTGTTAAAATCTATTAACTAACTGACCTGTTACAATCTACCAGTTAAGTTGACAAACTGGCCTGTTACAATCTACCAGGTAAGTTGACAAACTGACCTGTTACAATCTACCAGGTAAGTTAAACTGGCCTGTTACAATCTACCAGGTAAGTTAACTGACTGGCCTGTTACAATCTACCAGGTAAGTTAACAAACTGACCTGTTACAATCTACCAGGTAAGTTAACAAACTGACCTGTTACAATCTACCAGGTAAGTTAACAAACTGACCTGTTACAATCTACCAGGTAAGTTGACAAACTGGCCCTTGACTTCAACATTTCCCATTGACCAACAAGTCCTAAAGAAGACATAACCTGCTGAATAAAAACTGTTGCATTGTTTGCTACATTGCTAACTATACTGCACAATACACATTTTTGTGTAAGGAAATGAATATTTCCTTAAGACTAACACAATATTTAAACTTGAAATTCAATACATTTTAACATAAAAACCAGAAAGTACATAAATACCACCAATAATTGTTGTGTTGACTTATCTTGTTTTTTTTTCCAGATATATTTGGTAGCTACACTAAGTCGAAAGGAGATTTCCACAAGTGATTACTTCAAGTTTGAAAACCACATTGTCATAACCATCATTATGGTCAGCTTTAAATACAGAGTTTCTATTGTACCAAATTTAGCTAAACTAGTAAAACACATTTTCTAAGTTCTAGTTAAGATTAGTTTAGTGTGGGGTTCGATTTTGTGTCTGACTTGAGTAAAGAGTGCCTAAGAGTTGATGGGTAAAAATGGTCCATTACAGCTAGATGTCCTTTTGTTTACAATTACTGTGGAAATAATCATTCACACAAACATCTGGAGCAGTATTTCTTTCCCTAAATTTTTTTTTGCATTTTCACTAGAATCATTTAATTGTGTGTCTTTGTTTTGCCTTCTCAAATTCTTTCCTTAGTTATTTCTATGTGCTTTTGATAATGTTAAAATATTTGATTACTTTCACCTGGTGTGCTAACACAAAATTAAGACATTTCTAATTACTTTTGATAAAGTTAAAATATTTGATTACTTTCAGCCTTTGATTAATTTCATTTGGATGTTTTGGCTGCTGCATGTATTGGATGTCAAAAAAATGGGAGGAGATTTCAAGGAAGCTTTTCCATGCTATTCTAGTACTGTGAGTTATACTCCATTAAGGAACAGGGATATCATTGGCGATGAGGATGAAGATGTTAAAGCAGAGAGACTGAGAATTGAAAGCTTAAAGGCAAATGCACCCAAGGTACAATGTTTTGTGCTACCTCCTTGAGTATTATCACTGTTTTAGATCTTTATCTTTTAATGTTACTATGTTCTTCTTTACCTACTCTCAATAATTTGTCATAGGCCTACTTGAGGTTAGAAACTTAATCTGATATCACATAGATCTAAGAAACCAAACTTGATATCACATCGATCTAAGAAACCAAACTTGATATCACATAGATCTAAGAAACCAAACTTGATATCACATCGATCTAAGAAACCAAACTTGATATCACATATCTAAGAAACCAAATTTGATATCACATCAATCTAAGAAAGCAAACTTGATATCACATAGATCTAAGAAACCAAACTTGATATCACCTCAATTTAAGAAACTAAACCTGATACCACATGGAACTATGAAACAAAACCTAATATCACATTGAGCTAAGAAATAAAATCTGATACCACATGGAACTATGAAACAAAACCTAATATCACATTGAGCTAAGAAATAAAATCTGATACCACATGGAACTATGAAACAAAACCTAATATCACATTGAGCTAAGAAACAAAATCTGATACCACATAACATGGAGCTATGAAACAAAATCTGATACTACATGTAGGTAAGAAACCAAGCCAGATAAAAGTTTAGAAATCCAACCTTCCATCCCATTGAACTGATTGCATTCTTATTCCCACTAGAACACTTCCTCATCTTCTGGTCTCACACTCATTCATGTCAAGCTAATGATCCAACCTAAATGATTTCGCTAAGTTTCACCACCACACTAAAATAAATACTGTAGTGAAAAATGTTTCTTTGGTCTAAGTTACTAATTATTTAATTATTGATCATACACATTTTTTTGCTATATTTTGCCAATTTACAAAACTACAGCAAGGTTTAAAATGTTTATCAATCTCTATAATTTATGTTTATTCCCTAGCTCGGTATTGTTTGCTTAGTATATATTTGATAAAAGAACATCCTTCCACTTGCAAAGTCACTTGCTAAGAACAAGTATTTTGGAAAAAACTGTTACTAATGACTTTTTGTTTCATTTTACTAACTTATTAATGTGATCATAAAGCATTGTTTGTAAAATAGCAACCTGTGGCCTACACCTATGAACTAAGAAAAGATTATGTCAAGAGAACAAACGAAACAAACCTGTTCAATGCAGGCTCCATGAAAACAAAAACAGCAGTACGTAACTTGAGCATTGGTGTGGATGAAGGTGAGGTCCTGGGTCTGTTGGGACCCAATGGAGCTGGGAAAACTACAGCTCTCAGTATGATCATAGCAGAGACAAAGCCAACTTGTGGCCAGGTGAGAAGATAAGGACATGTTTTTAACAAGCAGGGATGGTGTGGTCTAACTGTTGAGTACATGCTGGCTAATGTGAAAGTCATGGGTTTTAGCATGAGTTTTAGGTTTTAGCAAGCAGGGATGGTGTGGTCTGGTTGTAGAGTACATGCTGGCTAATGTGAAAGTCATGAGTTTTAGGTTTTAGCAAGCAGGGATGGTGTGGTCCGATTGGTCACACTTTGAACTTTTATTTTTAACTCCAATGTAACATCTTGGAAAGTTAGCGATCAACAAAAAAAAATTCATAAAAAACGTTTTAATAACAAGCTTTTATGTAATGATGCACTAAAAAGTAGAAAATAAATTATAGACTACTATTTAAATAACTATAAAGAAAAGCATGGGTCACTTTAGTATCTATTGGATACCTTTACTAATGTTAAGGAAGACACCCACGCTTTTCTTTATAGTTATTTAAATAGTAGTCTATAATTTATTTTCTACTTTTTAGTGCATCATTACATAAAAGCTTGTTATTAAAACGTTTTTTATGAATTTTTTTTCAGTACTTTACATGTTTTATTTACAATAGAGTTACATGACTAAAAACCATTGCGCGCCTACTGAACATCACGTTCAGTAGGCGCGCAATGGTTTTTGAACGCAGCCATTACGTGATGGCGCAGCTATTGAAGGTGATGACGCGTGTGGTGTGGTTGGCTAGACATGCCTACTAATTCGGTCCAAATTTTAATTAATTCATAAAAAATTAATTAGGCATCCAATTAAGTCAAATTTAGATTCAGATTGCATTGTCTTCATGTCTTGACCCACGTGCCAACTGTGAATCGTATCGGTCAAGTAGAACTGTCCGAATTTTCACTCCTGCGTTTCCGTCTAGACAGACAGACTGTCGACAGAGGAAGTGAGTTAAATAAAAGCTTGTAAAAAAAAAAGGACAGGACCAGACTACATTTGGTTAAATATAAAGTTGTTTGATAAAGTACCCAGTACAACAGATTTTAAAAAAGGACAGGACAATCTCAGTTAAGGCAATTGTTAATGGCCACAACATAAGATCAAAAATGGTATCTAATATATTTTTAGGTAATTGTAAATGGCCACAACATAAGATCAAAAATGGTATCTAATATATTTTTAGGTAATTGTTAATGGCCACAACATAAGATCAGAAATGGTATCTAATATATTTTTAGGTAATTGTAAATGGCCACAACATAAGATCCCACATGCTGTCAGTGATGGCTTGTCTAGGCTACTGTCCACAACATGATGCATTGTGGGAAACTATCACACTTAAGGAGCACTTAGAGTTTTATGCAGCTGTCAAAGGGGTTTCCTCGAAACATATTGGAAAAGTTGTGAACTAGTAAGTTGTGTTTGTAATTGTTGTGTAGCTAGTTGTGTGTATTTAGTTGGGATCTAATTAGTTGTTTTTTTATTGCCTAACTAGTTTGTTGTATTTCTTGTTTTTAATTGTATAACCAACTGGTATATTTAGTTGTGTTTTAGTTAGAATATACAACTATTATTTCCATCTTTTCTTTTTGTTATGTGTACTTTAAATGCCTGTCCCTTAGTTTTTATTAACCATTTTTTAATCATTAGTTATAATTTGTCTTCTTTTTAAAAATCTTATTGACCAGTTATCTAGAAAAAATGAACTTAAAGGAACATAAAAATAAACAAACAGTAACATTATCTGGAGGAACCAAAAGAAAGGTCAGATTTATTTTATGTAGAAGTTAGAGCATTTAATTTAATTTTAAACAAACACCTGAACAGATCTGTGATACCATTTTATATTCAGTTATCTGCTCACTATTATGGTAATAAAATGTTAAATAAAATATTTTCCCCTCTAGTTGAGCTACCTTCTAAGCATACTTGGATCACCCCAGTTAGTTTTATTGGATGAACCATCTACTGGTCTGGACCCTCAGTCTAAACGTTTTTTGTGGTAAACATTTTACATGATTCATTAGGAGGGTTTTTAAGCAATTGTTCAACTTTTATTTTTAGGTTTTAAAGTTTAACTTTATTTTTAAATTGGATATTATGAACTTATATTTAACTTAAATAATAAAAAATCTGCTGTCAATCAGAACTTGGCTTTATTTTAGAAATCTTTAAAAATAATTTTAATACATTATTAACTGTTACTGTGTGGGTTGCCATATTCAACAATAATGAAAATCTGAAATGTATTTTGATGTGTTGTAACTGTGTATTTTAGTAGTGATAACCCAATAAGTCCTGTTGAACTTGAGGCCTGACTGTATCATCTATTTCAGGAATACAATCAGTGCTGATTTTAAAAACACAAACAGGGGAGCTATACTGACAACACATTACATGGAAGAGGCTGATGCCCTGTGTGGACGTGTGGGCATCATGGTCAACGGTCAGCTTGAGTAAGTCTGATGTATGTGAGAAATATATTTACCTGTTAGGTCAGACAAAGTCTGATGTATGTGAGATATATATTTACCTGTTAGGTCAGACAAAGTCTGATGTATGTGAGAAATATATTTACCTGTTATGTCAGACAAAGTCTGATGTGTGTGAGAAATATATTTACCTGTTAGGTCAGACAAAGTCTGATGTATGTGAGAAATATATTTACCTGTTAGGTCAGACAAAGTCTGATGTATGTGAGAAATATATTTACCTGTTTGGTCTGCTAGTTTCTTACGTGTGAGAAATTTGGGTCAGCTATACTCTCTTGTGTGTGAGAAATATATTTACCTGTTAAGTCAGTTTATAAGACACTGGACCAGTCACCAGGTAAATATTGCCAGCATGTTGGGGGGGGGGGGGGGGGTTTAAACAACTGATCAAACTAACCCTCACAGCTTTCCTGATAGTGTTGCTGTCTTCTCAATTTCATCTTTCCTGCCATCTTCATCTCCAGCTGAAGATAACATATTTCACCTGACCATATTGCTTTTGACTACAATGTTTCAATGAATTGAACAAATGTCATCTCTGTTGATTAAGTATACTCATTATGAAATAAAAGCCATAGCACACCCTTGAAGTAAAATGTAATATTGCATTTCTCCGTCTAAAAGATGCCTGGGTTCAACCCAACACCTGAAGAACAAATATGGCAGTGGATATTATCTTGATGTTAAACTTGCAGGAAATGTTTCATCAGAGATGGAAGTACGCATGGATGATCTTGAAAATCACTTGAAAACTTTATTTCCAGGTGAACGATGCTGTAGACTGGTACATGTAACTGGATATTTGTTGTAGATTTTTAGAACTTGGTCCTGTTTTTTTGTGTAGACTAGTACAATTTTATCCTGCTTTTATAGCTACTTCATTATATTTATTGGCATATTTATTTAAAAACAAGATATTTTGATACACATAAATATTTTTATCTTAAATAAATTATGAAAAAATCTAGCACATTATCTCACCCTCTATATATAAAATAAATATATGATGCATGTAAGCTTACAAAAATTTATAGACATTTAATGATCTATACATGAGTATTCCTTCCAAAAAACTAGAGAAACTTTATAACTTATTACCTTCTATCATGTATTTGAAATTAAATTAAGCTTTATTATATTGAAACAAAAAGCTTTAAAAAGAATTATTTAAACATGAGTTTAATTAATTTTTGTTGTTGGGTTTTTCAGGTCTAGAAAATGTTGAAAGGTTTCAAGAAAGAGCCCAGTATTCTATACCCAAAGATGATGTGAAAAATTTAGGCGAAACATTTGGTCATCTTGAAAGTTGTAAGATAACTGTTTTATATTATGTGTTTGTTCAGTTAAATATGAAGTTTAATGACAGTAAGAATTAACATAATGTTAAGATAATTTAGTGTTAGAAAATGGTACAACAGTAAAAATATAAGACAATTATTGTGTTACAGGTAGATCTACCCATGGGCTTGAAGAATACAATTTTAGCCAGAGTACACTAGAGCAGGTACACACACACACACACACACACACACACACACACACTTTATTTCTTTCTTTTATTGTTGTATTACATTTATTTAAAAATATTCAGTTTATGATGATGTAATTGTGTGTTGATGTCAGCTGGTAAAAATCACATACATTATTTCACAAGCTGGTATAAATCTAGGGATAGCATCACATACATTATTTCACAAGCTGGTATAAGTCTAGGGATAGCATCACATACATTATTTCACAAGCTGGTATAAGTCTAGGTATAGCATCACATACATTAGATCACAAGCTGGTATAAATCCAGGGATAGCACCACATACATTATTTCACAAGCTGGTATAAATCTAGGGATAGCATCACATAAATTAGATCACAAGCTGGTATAAATCTAGGGATAGCCCCACATACATTATTTCACAAGCTGGTATAAATCTAGGGATAGCACAACATACATTATTTCACAAGCTGGTATAAATCTAGGGATAGCATCACATAAATTAGATCACAAGCTGGTATAAATCTAAGGATAGCCCCACATACAAAAAATTTATACATTATTTCACAATATATTTCATATATTAAGTATATTTATTCTGAAAAAAATGTATTTATAAGCTTACATATTTATTGTTAAATGTGATGTTTTATTGTTAAAATACTGTAACAAATTTATATTAATCTAAAATTAAAATTAAATTTCTTGTTAAAGAATGTATAATTTTTAATTTATTTTAGACAAACATGATCAATATTGCTTATTATCCAAGCATCCAGTAATATAATAAAAGACACAATTTTGTAACATGTATACTATTTTTTTTTGTTCCAGGTTTTTCTACATTTTGCCAAACTTCAGACGGTTGAAGATGATGTGAATGCCAGTGATAGACCCAAACGTTTGTCTATACAGAAGTGAGCTGGTTTGTCTTGTCCCACTGGTCGTGATATGTCAACACCTGGTGGCTCTATCAACATCAGACCATGGTGTTGTATCAACACCAAACTGTACCAACACCAGATTGTATCAACACCAGATTGTATCAACATTCCTTCATTGTGTTGTACAACACCAGATTGTATCAACACTAGACAATTGTGTTGTATTAACACCAGATTGTATCAAAACCAGATTGTATCAAAACAAGGCCATTGTGTTGTATCAACACCAGACTGTATCAACACTATTTACTTGAGAGTATCAATCGTTACAGACACTTGTTTCAAATTGTGAAATGATTCTTTAATTATTTTGCATTTAAATAAATTCAGTGTGCAAGATGATTTTGTTTTAATTTTTTGTTTTATTCTTGAGTTGTGTCACAATATATTTTAACACTAGTCTAGTGTTGATGTATTACAATTAAATAATAGAAAATAATCACTAGATACTGGATAGTGAACTGAAACATTTCTACAGCAAATCTATAAGTCACTAAAATTTTCTTAAAATTTGTTTTCAGTTGGTCAAACTATTTTTCATCTTAGTATTTGTTACCTTTTTTCTCTGCATTTTAAAAGATGGGTGAGGTCACACAAACTAGATAAACACTCAAATATCTCATCCCCAGCGTGAATCCCATCTTGTGTAAAGACTCCATATAGAGGTATAACTGTTTATTTTAAAATATAAAACAGGTCAGTCTGCTACTTTTGAAAAAAAAAAAAAAAATCAATGCAACTGATGTTAGTCATGGGTAAGTTAGACAACCCTTTGTGTCACAAGTTGTGCTTTCTAACGGTTATTTTCCTTTATAGCGCAAGTCACTTCGAGTATTGCTGAAGACTTATACATAATCAGTAACAAAACAGATTGTGTTTGGTACATCGTAAGTTTGCCATGTTCACTCTACTAAAAACCGCCCCCCCCCCCCAACGAAATGGAATGTATATAGAAAACATACTTTTAACAGTGTGTGTGTCCCCACGGAAAATGTCCTCCCCCCTCCCCGAAAATATCAAGTGCCCCCCCCCCCCCTCCCCGGAAAAAAATGTCTGGAAGAAACACTGGCTGTCTCTTTTTAAAATATTAACAACAAAAAAAAAGTTTTAACAATGAGGTGGATATGCACCCCCCCCCTCCAAACTAAGGTTGCCTAATCCAGCAAATTTACAGCCTGTCGTGCCTTATTTGGTTTAAAAAGCATAATTTTAAAAAAATTAAGCTATGTAGAAATAAGTTTATAAGCTTTTGTTGTATTTTTTTCTTTGAGAAAATTAAAAACGTTTACACATAGATCTAGATTCTAAATGTATTGTTCGAATAAAAAATTAAAAGAATTTCAAATGTAGGCCTACTTAAATTTGGTTTTTCTTGTTTGATCAGTAGAAAGAAAAAACTACAGCCCACATCCAAGCAAATGAAAAGTCAGTTCAAAAATTGTATTAAATAAGTACAAAATGACTTCCTGTTTGATTAAGATTGATAATCTAGATCTAGAAATCTAGATTTGTAGATCTACTGTTTGGAAGTATCGAACCCCGCCACTAGTTTCATATCACGTTATCACTACACATGCGCATCCAAATAATAGTTCTATTAAATCTTAATCATCAGCACTAACTAGATCTAGATACTAAATCAGATCGTGAATCATGTCAAGAGCCAGATGTGTCTTGACACCTACGAACCCCACGAAAGAGTAGTAGAGTAGACTGACTCACCAAACTTGATTGAACCCAGGTTAAGACCTAGAATCTAGATCTAGATCTATAGTATAGCCTAGTAATAGATCTAGAAATCTAGATTTCTAGTATCTATCTTCTAGAGTCTAGAGATGTAGATCAGGATCTAGAGTCTATATTCCACTTAGATCCAGTCTTGATAATTAAATAATTATATATAATATTATATAATATATAATATTATATATATATATATATTTATTATATATATATAATATAGATCTAGATTTTTCTAGTATATAATAGTGACTTAGATGATAGTGTAGTCGTCTATCTAGAATCTATCTAGTTCTAGATCTATAGTTAGTACTCTATACTACTGAGTATTTACAGACTATGCTGTATTATTTATAGTAAATGAATTAGTTACCTCACTACTCACATAGCAGCAGCTATGACACAATTCATTTGATTAAAAAGATAAATAAAAAAATAAGAAAATGAAAACAGAAATGAATGGTTTTGAAAGGGTGATTTTTAATGATGCCTGACACTCCAAACAAATCAAAATAAAGGGTAGAATCCAGGATTTTCTAGTCTCTAGGCATATTGAATTTTGATGTTTAGTGACAAAGGCGGGTTCAATAAATAATGTTACAAACCAAATGTTAGCCGTTTTTGTGTTTTTAAAAGACTTTTTAAAATTGTAGAATCTAATAAAAATTTATCAGTATACTCAACTTTGAATGAGCTCAATAAATATTTTAAATCACTGATGTGTAACAATGAGGGGGGGAGGGGGGGGGGGTGGGATAAAAATAGTTTTTTAAAGTGCCATTGCAAATCTATATGACACCTTTATGTACAATTTAAAAAAGGGGGTCAAATATCAGCCTCACTGTATTTTAGGTTAGAGGTAAACAAAAATTACACATAGGCCTTGATTAGTGCAGCATTACCATTAATCATCACACACTATTTTCCTGCCAGTATTTAGGACTGTCATGGGGGACTGCAAAGAAAATTGCAGGTGACCGACAAAAGTGGAGGGAGCTTTCTGTGGCGGCCCCATGTGTCTTGGGTACAAAAAGGAAAAGATAATGATGATTTAGGCCTATATAATAACCTAACAATAACTTTGTTGTCTGCCTTGTAGTTCTCTCCACCCATTCAGACAATGTAATAATAAGATTAAATAAAAAATGTAACCACCATGCTCCCTTATGTTGTGTAACATTTACATGGCCAATTATCAGCATAATCAATACCATCGGGTCAGCAAAGTTGGTAAAGCTCATAGTTGCTGAACCAAAAAGTCTCGAGTTGATGAGGCTCGTTAGCCACTTTTCTAGGAGAGACAAACACATAAATCTAACAACTGCTACCTTGTAGTTCGTTCTTGGTTGGACAAAGACTATGGAAGCAAATCCAAAAAGAAAAGCAGGCTGAAATCGAAGTAAATTGCCTCAATGGCGCGTAACCAATTGACGTATACTTAATTGTGTTGGAGGGGATCTCTTCCAACACTAAAATTAAGAACGAAGAAGAAGAAGAATACCAGTATTTTTATTAAGCCTAAGCCAATACAATTTTATGAACATCTGCTTTAAAAACTCCTTTCAGCTTATTCTTGCAAGAACAAAGCACCCACCTCTTTTACAAGCTTGTTTTCACCCTCTCAAAAACCAGCCAAACCCACATATTTGTAATCTGGTAAATATCATTTCACCCTTATTGTTCAGGATATGGATTATGTTTGGGATTTTATCTCTATCATATAAAGATTTTATATATATATATATATATATATATATATATATATATATATATATATATATATATATTTATATATATATGTGGATATGGGTATCAATTACAATACTTATAGTTATAAATATTAATATATAAATATATATATATATATATATATATATATATATATATATATATATATATATATATATATATATATATATATATATATATATATATATATATATATATATATATATATATATAATAAGTCATGTGGATATGGGTATCAATTACAATACTTATAGTTATAAATATTAATATTCTGTTCTATTTTAGAGTAGGCATACTGTGTTAATGATGGCCAGTTTTTGTAAACAGCTGAAAGCCTTGCTATGGAGGAATATTTTACTTAAAAAGAGAAATCCCATCATGCTGCTTCAGGTAATATTTAAAAATTTAAAACTGTTCTTATCCCTTAGCTCATGAATACCTACATGACCAACTAAATCAGCCTGTTTCACAAATGATTACCCCAAGTGTATCATTGATAATGTTAGTGATTTATTGAGCTAGCTCTAACCTTTAGATCAGGGGTCTCCAAACTTTTCAGTCCGACGGCCGCATCAACTATCAAATTTCAGTTCGGGGGCCAGTTTCTTCCAGGCATGTCTTTGATTTTTCTGGGCAAAGTTCCTCAGCCATCACCAACAAACGATTTTTCCTTGGACAAAAAGATCTCCGCGGGCCGGATGAGAGGGCTTCGAGGGCCGCATCCTGCCCGCGGGCCGTAGTTTGGAGACCCCTGCTTTAGAGCAAGAGACAATCTTGGCCCGTTACTCTTTTAATTTATTCTTAGATAAATATACAAAAACAAAATTAAGTTCAATTTAGTAACTTATTTGTGGTATGAATGTATGTGTTGCACTTTACTGTAAAGCACACAACTGTAACTAAAAGACAAAATTGTGACTTTTAGCCTCATCTTTCACAGCCTAACAAATGTTTTAAGTGAACTTGATTTCAGCCAATACCTGTAATCTTTTTCAGATTATTTCAGAATCATTTTCTTTACTTTTTTTATTGCTGTTTTTCAGGAATTACTCTTCCCCGTTTACTGTGTTGGCCTCTTTTCCGTGCTGAAAATTTTAACGCAGCAGGACATCAGACCAGCTATAAGATTTCCTGTCGTCAATCTTAAAGATCCACAGTTAAATAAAGTATTTTATTCAAAAACTGAGATCTATGTTGTACCAAATACAGAAAAGGTATTTAGGTTTACTTTAGTAGCAAATAGACTTTAGGTTTTAAGTGTTAAAATAGTTTAGTTTGTCTTTAATCAATAATTGATTCAATAGAAGTTTTAAATATTAACTAATAGTTATAACAGCCTTTATTAAATTGAGTTAATTTATTTTTAAGTAGTTCAATTCTCCTTTTATATTAGGTTTAGTTTATTTAAAATAGGTGTACAAACCCAGAATATAGTCCAAAAATGTGTAGCAACAATATAAATGTTGCCTACAAAGTACTAAATATCTCAGAGATTATTGCCCAATCATTCTATAGAATGACCTAAACAGTAGTCTAAGAGTCAATTAAAATTTTGAAAATGGAGAGATATTTATATCACATAATACCTAAAAAGAAACCATAATGTAAAGTTATGGTAATAAGAGGGTTAAAGTTAGGGTTTGACAGAAATTGTTAGCTACCTTGGTTTTCCTATTTTATTGTTAACGAGCCAGCCCGTGGCATAACATATATATATATATATATATATATATATATATATATATATATATATATATATATATATATATATATATATATATATATATATATATATATATATATATATATATATAGTTTTCAAAAATTGCTATTCGCATATATTGTTTTGTAACATTTAAAATATAAAGAGTTCTAAAATTTCAAATCATGTATAGAGTGTGTTATAAATTATAAATATAAACGAGCCGACCCGCGGCATATCATACGCCGCTATTTAGTTGTTGTTTTTTCTACTTTTCAGTAATTCATAATTTGTGAATTCGACAGTACCAACGCTGACACTGAAAATATTTCTTTAAAACACTATAAGTAGCTCGTTAAGGACCATAACCCCCCCCCCCCTTCCTCCCTCCCCCCCCCCCCACGTTTAAAATCGTTTCAAACTAAATTATCTGCCCCTAATAGCCGTCACCAAACCCGACTCCACGAAGGTAAACATAGCGTGAACCACAGCTCACTAAGACCATGCAGGGGTGGGGATGGTTGGGAGCGCGTTTACAGCTTGTTTTCTAGCGTCTCCCAGAAGAAAATTATATATATAGATTGTTCTTTTTGATGTATGCTAACAAAGAGTTATGCGTCACTTGTTGTTTCCTGTATTTCTTGTTTTGCTAGCATAATGCACAAATTTCTGGAAGGAAAAAAAAAAGTTATTTTACACTATGCCACTAATTTCAGTTCTATAGAATCCTGAAATTTTGCTTTTTGCAAGAACATGTCTTTCTTAAAAGTACATAAAGAAAGTAATAAAAAAAAAAGATTTTTTAATTATCATTCTTGTGTATTATCTTTAACTTTTTACACATTGTGTGAATGAGTAACCTTTTTGCCTGGTTGATCAAAATTTGTGATCCGTTTTACAGGTAAAAAACTGGATGGATGACATATTTAGTCAGCTGCCTGGAAGTTTGAGGTACCAACTGTTTGCAACTGTAGAGGAGGCTGAAGCTGCTTATCTGGAAGCCAGCTCTAATGTCTTGGCTGGAGTTGTTTTCCATTTTACTTCAAACACTTACTCTTATGCTATAAGAATTGGCTACAGTGACTTTCCTGGTCATGCTTTTACTACTGCAGGTAAAGCACGGCAGCAAGCAAATTCCTTCAAAAATGTATCTCCTTTTCTGATTTACTTTTGACTATTGGATGTATCTTTGCATTGATTTGTTTCCATATTTTTGTTTCATGATAAAAGTAGTGTTTTTGACTATTTTTATCCAGATTTTTGTCGCAATCTAAAAGATGGTGTTGATACAAGCTCTACATGCTATGTTCACAGTTATTTGACCAATGGGTTTGCTGCTTTGCAAGTTGCCATAGAAAATGTTTTGCTGAAAGTTAGTAGCCTACAATTAGTTGTTAACTTTGTTGACTCATTGGACAATCTTAAAATAATTTGCCTTGACTATGACTGATACATAGTGACACTTTATTAAGACACATGCAGTGTGACATTTTATTATGACACCTGCAAAAGTGACAATTTTTTAAGACGCCTGGTGGAGTGTGACATTTTCTAATAAGTTCTAGTTGAGTAACGCAAGAGTGGGGGAATCACAATTTAAAAAAAAATGTAACAAAATTTCTTTTCCCAGAATGCAGGCATTACGGTTAATCTTAAATCAAGGGTAATTCAACTTCAACTGATGCCAAAGCCGAAATTTATACCAGACACAAAACATTTTCATGCCTTTGCTTCCATCCAGTTTGCTTCTTCATTTAGTGCATTGGCCAACTTTCTTGTTGTCAATATTGTGGCAGAGAAGGAAAAGAAAATCAAAGAAGGAATGTTAATGATGGGCTTAAGAACCTCAGTTTTTTGGTGAGTGATTGTTGCTTGAATGAAATAGTGTGTTAGAACACATGATTTTAAAGTTTTACATCAGACTCATCAGTGTGGGAAGTCCCTGATGGCTACAGCAATTGAAAACTAAGCTAGCTGCTAAATCTAACAATGCAGAACAACTTAAATTCACTCAAACTTTACACATTCATGTTTGATAGAATATTATACTTTTTAAAGTTAATCTTTAATTTTTTGAATTGAATGTAATAACTTGTCAGAAAATGTATCTTTGAAATACTTTTTTTTTCTTTAGGTTAGCCTGGGGCCTTATATATCTAATGCTGGTCATCCTGTCTTCTGCAATGATTATTGCTTTGATAGTTGTGAGTGGCTTTTTTACAGAGAGCAACATTTTCATGTTGTACATCTGCTTTTTGCTTTATGGATCTTCAATCATCACATTTGGCTTCATGCTGACTCCATTCTTTAAGAAATCAAAAGTGGCAGGGCTTTTTACCTGCTTCTTGACAGTCGCCCTTAGCTTTCTACACCTGCTTATCAAAAAAGAGCCTGGCAACTATGACTCTAGCCAACCAACGTATGTCCAGTGGCTGATGAGCTTGCTGTCTCCTGTTGCTTTTGCCTTTGTAATTGATCAGGTAAGTGAACTCCAGCTCTGTTATAAATCTGGGTAAAATAAAGGTTCCTTTTGTCTTTAGAATTGATCAGGTAAGTAAATTCCAGCACAGAATTTCATAATTCAGCCCCATCTATTTATACTACAATAAGTACGTGACAGTCAATAATACCATTGAAAATAGGTTATACAATCTTCAGGAATAGTTTTTGATTCCAGCAAATAATCATCCCCATTTAACATTAATTTCATGTGGGTAGAATTATTTTCATAATTTACTCAATGTGAGCACTTTTTTTTTGCATTATGTGATAGTGGTAAGACAGTAGAGCACACAATTGCTAATTCACAAGTAGGGATTTCAGATCTCAGACTCAAGTACCTATATATATATATATATATATATATATATATATATATATATATATATATATATATATATATATATATATATATATATATATATATCACTACCACCCCCACCCCACCCCCACATGATCTGGTGAGCTGTAGTTCACTCTAAATGTTTACAATATCATAGAGCCGGGTTTAGTGACGGTTGTTAGGGGCAGAAAATTTAGTTTGAAATGATTTTAAACTTACCGGAGGTAACTCAGAGGAGGCTGCTTTCACGGGGGGGGGGGGTGTGTAGGGTAGGGGTTGGGGGAAAGGGGGGGGGGGGTTAGTGTTTTAAAGCAAATATTTTCAGTGGAAGCATTGGTACTGTCGAATTCACAAATTATGAATTACTGAAAAGTTTAAAATAAAACAAGTAAATAGCAGCGTATGATACGCCGCGGGTCGGCTCGTATATATATATATACACGTATGTATGTGTGGATTCATTTATAAAAATCTCGCTTTAGGGAGCTTACCTAGACATTTTCAAGAATGGATTTGGTTTCGATGACTCTTTAACTTTTGGAAAATTTCCTCTCTATGCCCCAATCTTGATGCTCGTTGTGGACACCATACTTTATTTAATATTAACAATTTATTTTGATAATGTTATTCCTGGTAAGTTAATTATTTCGCTTCTCTGTTTGTTGAAATTAAAAATAACTTTCTTTTGTAAATCATGTAGGCAAAGTATTCTTTCTAGCATGATAAACAGTTAGCTTTGTGTTTAATGTATTTAGAGTCTATAGACAAGGTTCCCATGCTTTTTTTTGTGCGTCGACCCCTTTTTAAAAAATCAAGTCCCTAGCAACCCCAATACCATAGAGAATGGCCTTTTTAATAAGGTAATTATAAACTCAATTTTTGACAGAATAGGCTACCTAGATCACATTTATTTTAATTTTATAATGTATACGAAATCATTCAAACTTCAAGACACTATTAAAATTGTGAATATTATTTTTAGTTTACTGTATAAGTTGGCAACCCCACAGAAAACCCTTCGTTACTGCTGTGACCCATGTTGGCAGTAGCGTAGCGAGGGGGGGGGGGGGGGCGCCGACCATAGGGGGCGCCAAAATGGGTTGGAAAAATAAATTGAAAGGTTGAGGGGGGTGCAAATCGAAAGTTTGAGAGGGGGGGAGTGCAAATCGAAATCTTGAGGGGGGGGGTGCAAATCGAAAAGTTTGTCCCCGGGCGCTGGGTCGCTACGCCTCTGCATGTTGGGAACCTGTGGTCTGTACAATGCCTTACAGCATTTTATTTGTTAACGTGAATCTGGTAACAATCAGACATGAGATCACTAAAGGTTGACCTTCATGAGAGTGTTACTGACTTATCATTTGGATCCCTGTAAGATTTTAAGTATTGGAAATGTGTCAGGAACATGACATGACTCTATTATAACAGGTGAATATGGAGTCAGATACTCTCCAGTTTACTTCCTCAAGGCATCCTACTGGTGCTCATCTACAGTTAAAGAAGAGTCACTCAGACTTATGAGCACCTCAGAGCACAAATTGCTGGCGCATGATGTAGAGCCTATTGCTAAAGATATGGAAGAGAAAGTTGGGTTAAGGTGATAGATTAAATTTTTATTTTATGTATGTAGTTTTAATTCTGTCAAGCACTTGAACAGAGAATAGTTAGTCATGTTTTGTCTATTTTTCCTTACCAGGATATCATCCTTGACAAAGTCATATGTCAAATATTTTCCTGAGCTAAAGCGCGTGACTGCAGTAGATGGTAAGTCAAAATTTTCATAGACTTATAAAAGCAAAAATTTTTTTTGCCTAAATTTATTTTACATTTTTTTTAATGAACCACTTATCGTTCTTCAGATTTTAGTTTAGATGTATATGAAAGTCAAATTACATGCTTACTGGGTCACAATGGAGCAGGAAAAACTACCCTTTTAAATGTGTTAACTGGAGTAGTGTCCCCTAGTTCAGGAACTGCAACTGTAATGGGTTTGATAAAAAGTTACTTTTATTAATTTATGAACAGCTTTTTAAATTTGTATTATATTACTATAGTATAGAAACATCACATTTTTTGCATTACAGAGACAATGGTATCAATATTTTATGAAATTAATCCATAAGACAATGACGTTAATTCATTATAGAGATATTGATCTATTGAAGATATATATGTATTGCTATGGTGTTAAACACAATACTAATGACAACTTTTTTCCTGTCATAACAATTTAGATGGCTGCTATAAGAATTAAAAAAAAAATTTGAATAAATCATTACAATTTTTTATTTAATATTGATTAATGGCTAGCTAGATGTAGTTTTTCTTTATTTTAATGTTTTTAAAGATTAAAATCAATTGTTTATTTCTGCAGGAAATCACAAAACCAAAAGAGTTGGAGTATATTAGAAATCTTTGTGGCATATGCCCACAGACCAATATCCTTTATGATGAACTGTCCTGTGCTGAACATTTAAAGATGTTTGCCAACATTAAAGGAGTTCCTGATCATCTTATCAATGAACGTGTAAGAATGTCTACTTCTTTCAAAGCATTTTTTTTTATAACCATGGCAATCAACTTTATAGAATATATTATCATTAAAAAAATATAGTGCAATATTTCAATTTTGTATTTCTTTATATTACTTTTTGAAATATTTCCGCTGTCATCTTTCGCCGATCATCATTTTAATTTAACCATAAATATTTCTTTTGTAGATTGAGTCAGCTTTGAAGGATGTAGATTTGTCTGACCAGACTCACACATTTGCTAAAAATCTCAGTGGAGGCCAAAAGAGGAAACTCTCAGTTGCTATTGCATTTATCGGTGACCCAAAAGTAAGATGGTTGTGTTTATGTTATACAAAATAAGATAAATTATTGCTTGATTTAAAAGTTATGAGCTAAATAAAATGAAAGTTAAAAAAAATAACAGTTGTGAATAGGCCTATATTTTTATTTAAAAAATCTTTATACAGCTTTTGCCAGTTATTCCACCTTAGCAATATTATATTAATCAGTGAGGTTATATGTTTAAATAAATATATTATTATCCTTCCTGTCGTGAAATCTAAATTTCCCCTACTAATGTTAACAACAACTCACCCAAACTGGAAATTTAACAAACACTGAATAAAGTGACTGAAAAATGAGTCAGAAATGCTTTTGTTTGTTTAGTTTGAACTGGACACTTTAGTATTGTACTCTTAGCCAGTAATGTTGTTTAGGCATGCACATACCAAAAACAATAAGTCATGTACTTAACTGTATGTAAAGGCAAAATCCATAGTGTGATGTGGGGTTTCATCTACATGTCAGAAATGTTTTGCTTGAGAACAGGTTATCCTATATTATTTCTATGTGTAGAAAAGCTTAAAGTATTTCACTAATATATTTTATGTTTCACATAGAAAAGCACATGTACCTCTTCCCACAACAACACTGTTCTCATTCCTACCAACAGCTACTTGATCAGCTTGTTTTTTTTTTTTACATCACTGCTTTTAACCACATCATTCCTGCAGTCTACATAATCCACCACAACAACCAACCTCAAATATTTCATACTCTCCAACACTTGCTATCCTTTGCAAATGCTATTTAACTCGATCACATACTAAGGTCAGCTTTCTGTCATAATCTGTCTAGTCTACTATTGGTCTGGTCATATTTTAGGTTATACATGGGTCAATAAATATAGATACATCATAACAATAAGTGCAGCCAAAAAGAAGTTATATGTCTAAAAAAACACAAAATGTAAAAATTTGAAGATAAAGAGTAGAAGACTTACCCCATGGTCCATTGTTTGCTTCTAAATTATACAAAATCATTTCAGTTGGTATTTCTGGATGAGCCAACAGCAGGCATGGATCCCTTCTCTCGTAGACACCTTTGGTCTCTTTTAAAAAAGAAAAAAGAAGGCAGAGTTATTCTTCTGACCACCCACTTTATGGATGAGGCAGACATCTTATCAGGTAAATAACCCTGTAGCTAGAAATTTTGTAATTTGTATGGCTTATACCAAGCTAATTTTTCTTGTGCTAGTTGCTTTAAATATAAAATCCATGCTTTGATGTGTATGGGTACATTTATCATATTTACTCATGCAAGGCTTGTTTCTGTTTGTTAAATCATAGAGGGTATAGTGAAAAAATTAGTAAACATTTAACTTTACAGACAGAAAAGCTTTCATACAGAATGGTAAGCTACGCTGCTGTGGATCTTCTATGTTTTTAAAGAACAAATTTGGTATAGGCTACCATTTGACGTATGTATCTCGCATATTCTACCAAGTTTCTTTATTGTTTGTATTTTATCTACCTTATTTAGTTAAACATTCTTGTAAAAATATTTTTTGTAAATATTTTATATTAAAACTTCTTGGTTCTTAATTATACAGTTGGAACGGATTCACTCAACACTATTAAGTAGTACATCTCAACTTGTTATGTGCCATATAGAATTTCAGCCTGATTTCAGCCTGCTTTTCTTTTTGGATTTGCTTCCATAGACCTTGTCCAACCAAGAAGAAACTACAAGACAACAGTTGTTTAATTTTGGAGTTGTCTCTCCTTGATGAGTTGCTGTCCTTAACTATCGAACTTCATCTACATGGGCCTTCGAACCATGAGCTTAACCCACCCAACCATGCTGACCTCATTTTAGTTAAACATTAAATGCAGATTAAAATTAAAACCTGTGATTTGTATTCAGGATTGTTATGGGTTCCAATTTTCTAGTTAAAGAAGTGATAATCTATTAAACTAAAAACAGAGCTCTAGTGAAGAGATCCTGTTGTTTTTTTTTTTAGGATGGTTATAGCCCCTGAATGTCAAGTTGATAAAGTGACATCAATGCTGACTTCTGTGATACCCAGCACTAAACACCAAAGAACTCATGGGAAAGAAGTTGCTTACACTATGTCACTTAACGATGTGCCTAAATTTTCAAGTAAGATTTGAAAAATCTTGATAGGTTGGTCTGGTTTTTAACAATTTTTTTTTGCTATTTGTTACCTTTTAGTCTACATTCTTCACAGAAATTTTTATTTGTGTTATAATTAACTGCTTAAAGCATGACCCCCAAGTCAGACCTTCTTAATACTTTTGCAGTAGGGCCAGGCTAGGGGCTTAATGCAGTCTTGCTAGGGGCTTAATGCAGTCTTGTAGTATAGAGCCAGGCTAGGGGCTTAATGCAGTCTTGTAGTATAGAGCCAGGCTAGGGGCTTAATGCAGTCTTGTAGTATAGAGCCAGGCTAGAGGCTTAATGCAGTCTTGCAGTAGTATAGAGCCAGGCTAGGGGCTTGATGTAGTCTTGCAGTAGTATACAGCCAGGCTAGGGGCTTAATGCAGTCTTGCAGTAGTATAGAGCCAGGCTAGGGGCTTAATGCAGTCTTGCAGTAGTATAGAGCCAGGCTATGGGCTTAATGCAGTCTTGCAGTAGTATAGAGCCAGGCTAGGGGCTTGATGTAGTCTTGCAGTAGTATAGAGCCAGGCTAGGGGCTTAATGTAGTCTTGTAGTAGTATAGAGCCAGGCTAGGGGCTTAATGCAGACTTGCAGTAGTATAGAGCCAGGCTAGGGGCTTGATGTAGTCTTGCAGTAGTATAGAGCCGGGCTAGGGGCTTAATGTAGTCTTGCAGTAGTATAGAGCCAGGCTAGGGGCTTAATGCAGTCTTGCAGTAGTATAGAGCCAGGCTAGGGGCTTAATGCAGTCTTGCAGTAGTATAGAGCCAGGCTAGGGGCTTAATGCAGTCTTGCAGTAGTATAGAGCCAGGCTAGGGGCTTAATGCAGTCTTGCAGTAGTATAGAGCCAGGCTAGAGGCTTAATGCAGTCTTGTAGTAGTATAGAGCCAGGCTAGAGGCTTAATGCAGTCTTGTTGTATAGAGCCAGGCTAGAGGCTTAATGCAGTCTTGCAGTAGTATAGAGCCAGGCTAGGGGCTTAATGCAGTCTTGCAGTAGTATAGAGCCAGGCTAGGGGCTTAATGCAGTCTTGTAGTATAGAGCCAGGCTAGAGGCTTAATGCAGTCTTGAAGTAGTATAGAGCCAGGCTAGGGGCTTAATGCAGTCTTGCAGTAGTATAAAGCCAGGCTAGAGGCTTAATGCAGTCTTGAAGTAGTATAGAGCCAGGCTAGGGGCTTAATGCAGTCTTGTAGTATAGAGCCAGGCTAGGGGCTTAAGCATGTCCACATTGTTGTGTTTTAGAGGATTCCATAATGGTTTACAGGAACAACCAGATTGTAACAATTCTGTTCCATAACTTAATGTTTTTCTATAAAGCTGCTTACAAACTAGTTACCAGGAAGGAATTAGATCTATTTCTGTGTATTAACTATAAACACTCTGCAACACACAAAAAATACCAAAACCAAACACACTACATTACACTACAGCTGTTTACCATCTATGTTTAGTAATATTTGTAAATACTTCATTGAAAGTAAAGTACCCTTTCAAAGCTGATGGTGCCTGGGGCAGGTAGAGTTCACCTGTTTCTCTGGCCTCGACATATGAACGGATAGTGTAGTCAGTACTATTTCCAGCCACCTTTACTTTCCCTAACAAACCAGATACTGGATTAGCAGTTGTATTTTGTACCATCTGACCACACATTCCCCGCCCCCCCCCCCCCCCCCCCCTCTAGATACTTTAGTTACATTTTGTTTTTTTAAATAGTTTGAAAATTATTTTTTTTTTTTTTTGCAGAATTGTTTAAAACCATTGATAGGAATATGAAACTGGGAATTGAAGGCTATGGAGTATCTATGCCAAGCCTGGAGGAAGTTTTCTTAAATCTAGGTCAGCTTACATTTTCTTTGATTTTAAATTTTTGGTTAATTTTTTTAAAGCACCTTTGCACAGTGTAACTTTATCCACAGTAAATCAGCCAAATTAATGCCAGCACACTGTGAGGGATTCAGACCACTTGAATATCAATGTTAAAATTTTCATTACAAATAATTAAACCTAAATAAAAAAAAAAAGTCATATTTTTTCTGTTGACTGGATAAGGTTATCAAAAGAAAGCCTTTGTTTAAATAATCCAGTCATTTTAAAGTGCTAACTTTGCTTGGTTAAAATTTAAAAAAAAAAGAGTAATGTGTTGTAATATAATTATACCTTATACTAAGAAAGCAACCAATCCATGAATGGTAATTAGTATTTAATTACATGCAACAGAAGGAGCTGAGCTGGTTGAAGGTGATAAAGGAGAGATGACCCATACAAATCTCAGCCACAGCCTGGCTAATGATGCCACAGAAGTTGACATACAGAGCCCAGACGATGTTGACTTACAAATTTTTAAACCAACTGTAAAGGGCGCTAGTTTATCTTTACAAAGATTTAAAGCATTGATGAAGGTAAGGATTTTTTTGCAAAGATTTGTGGCACTGTCAAAGGAAAGCTAATCAAAGAAATTCCTTATTGAAGAGAAAAACGTTACTAAAGTAAGAAATGAATACTTGAAAATTATTCTCTTTGTATAAGACTATATGTTATATAACCATGGCACTGATTTATGGAAAATTAACTTGTTCTTCTTGTGATTTCATTCTTAATTTTGTTGTTGGAGCGGATTTTCTTTATGGACTTGCTTACAGCAGTAGTTTGATGTTTCAGTTTTCTTCTCTCTCAGATAGTTTGCTGTCAACAGCAAACGAGCCTCATCTGCCTGAATCCAAACTTGGTACAAAAGGGTTTGAAATCATGTGCTCTCCTGCCTGACAGTGCTGTGTTCCCCCCCCCCCCCCCCCCCGCCATTAAATGTTAAAATTTGTGACACCAAAGTTGTTAAATTACAGATTCGTTTCCTTATGGTGATGCGCAGCTTCACTGCACTCAATAACCAAATTGGTGCTCCTCTCGGCTTTGTGGCTTTTGGTCTGTTAATTGCAAAAGAATCACACCAGTTACCACCACTGGATAATCCTGGAAGTATGGACCTTACTCATTATATCTATATTGCACCAAGACCTAGTTTCCTGGCACTTCAAGCACCTGTGATATATATACAATTACAAATACCAGCACTACTGGTCTATGATGCTGTTGGTAAGTATACATTTAGTTTAAGCTTTTAACTCCTTCATTTTGATTACAAATCTAATACAGTATCCTCTCAAAACTACAGCTGTGTAGTACATTGATGTGCACATTGGAAGAAATGTACTATATTTATATCAAAGTAGGTTATGCAAAAGATAATCTTGCATATCTTAAATTTATTCATCACAGTAATTATATCCATTTGAATCCCACAAATTCTATCACTCGTTAATGACTTACATGATTGCTTTGTTATTTAACAAGTAGGTATCATAATAGTGGAGGAAAAATAGCATTGTTTATTGAATGCGAAATAGATGTTGGGGACATTACTTGGTTCATTTAACCAAGGATAATTTGCCTGAGAAACAAAGGTTTAAAAACATACCACATTGAAGAAATTTATGAATTCACATATTTTTGTTGTAGTTTTTCAAAAGAATTAGTTGTTATAAAAAATAATTGTACAAACGTTTGTTACAAACAGTTTCAATCAAAAGGAGATTTTGTTATTTTATCAAAGGGAAAAATGTATATATTCAAGCAGATTGATGACATTTTTCTGACTACACAAACAATGTTTGAATCATATTTTGGGTGCTATGATTTGATGTGTTAAGCTTAAATGGCTTGAGTAGGACTACTGTTGCTTAAAGTATAGCCAATAGAACACACATGTATGTCTAGCTGCAGCATTATTTATCTTCCCATAAGCTCGGATTTACATTGCCATTTAACACAACATTGCAAATGTTTTCTTTTTCCACTGTCTTTTCATTGTTTTCAGATAACGCTGTTTCAAAATCTGTAATCACAGATTTGAAAAGACGATTTGTAGTGGAAAGTTATCCAGCTAGCTCAAAAGATTTAGCTGCAGTAGCTCCACATCTTCTTGGGATTCAAATCACCTCACTCACACCAAAGGTACTTTGGACTTTATCACCTCCCTCACACAAAAGGTACTTTGGACTTTATCACCTCCCTCACACAAAAGGTACTTTGGACTTTATCACCTCCCTCACACAAAAGGTACTTTGGACTTTATCACCTCCCTCACACAAAAGGTACTTTGGACTTTATCACCTCCCTCACACAAAAGGTACTTTGGACTTTATCACCTCCCTCACACAAAAGGTACTTTGGACTTTATCACCTCCCTCACACAAAAGGTACTTTGGACTCTATCACCTCCCTCACACATAAGGTACTATTAAATATTAATTAAATATTTCAAGCATCAATGGTGTAAAAGTTGAACTTGAAAACAATAGTTTGTGTTTAAGGCTAGATTTCTATTTTAATCAAGCTTGTATTATAACCTGCTTTACCTACCAGAGCTGGGTAGACTCAGGAATGTTCTGCGGCTTGATCCCATGATCCAAACTTAAGACTTTTGGGTTAGTAAGCAATGGTCTGCCTTTTGGCCACACCATCCCACAGATACGTCAGTTGCACTTACAAATAATAATTAGCATTGGGACTAGAATTGCTAAATTACATTTTTGTTATTTTATTCTGTCGCTTCTGATTCACAATTCATATTTTAAATGATAAATTAATGGGATCACATATTTTTTCATTCTTACAGTCTCTGACTGACTTTGTGATAATCTACAATGACTCAGCAATACATGCCATCCCTGCTGGAATTAGTTTAGCCACAGACATCACCCTGAGAATGAATGGTGATATCCACACACATATCCAAGTGTATGTTCTGCTTTGGCCTAAGATTCCAAACAAATCATTGGCCGTAGACTGGAATAAAGACACCATGATTTCTATTATGTTTGTTGGCCTGGCTTTTGTATTAGTGCTTCCAGGGTTTGCTGGGGATATTATAAAGGACAGAGAGGTAGTTCACAGTTAATTACATGAGCTTGTTTTATCAAGTATATTTGAAGGAAATAGATTTTTTCAAGGATACAAATTATATTGCATTAAAAAATGTTGATCTATTTGGCAGAACTGTTTGCATTGACAGAAATTCAAACTAGCTATAACATAAATTATCTTTTTTATGTATTGAATACAAATCTTAACATCTGTATTATTTACAAAATAATTGTGGTAGTATGTAGATAAAGATCTAGTTCCAGTTTTAAAATGTATTTACGAAAATAGTAACTATTTATGAAGCTTTAAAATTATAAACATTGAACAAACATAATATTACAAGCTTCAAACAAATATTGAAGATGAAATATGCATTAAACATGAAATCAGCATTAAATACATTAAACAGACTGTGATTGAAAAAAAAATGTTGTAAAAAGTTTTATTTGCTCAATTTACAAATAATGTTTTCTTTTTCAAATTATTGTAGTTGAAGCTAAGAGGACAGCTGCGCATAGCTGGGGTAACATTTAACCAATACTGGGGGACCATTTACCTGGTGGACATTTTAATTTACCTCATACCTTCAGTTAGTGTACTCATCATTGTGTTGGCTATGCAAGTACGTTTTTTATTGTTGTGATTATGTTTTGACAGTAGAGAGATAGCAATAAAAAATCTACTAAAGTGATGCCGAAATATTAAATGTTGATGTTATCAAATTTTGTTTTGTTTACCTTAACAGTAAATTCCTGTGTAAGTTTGATAAATTATAACAGGGTTGAGCTAGCAGTAGCAATACATTCCTGCCTGTGTATTTTGACAGATACATTGGTTAAGTTAGCAGTAACAATACATTACTGCATGTGTATTTTGACAGGTACCAGGGTTAAGTTAGCAGTAGCAATACATTCCTGCCTGTGTATTTTGACAGATACATTGGTTAAGTTAGCAGTAGCAATACATTCTTGCCTGTGTATTTTGACAGATACATTGGTTAAGTTAGCAGTAGCAATACATTCTTGCCTGTGTATTTTGACAGGTACCTGGGTTAAGTAAGCAGTAACAATACATTACTGCATGTGTATTTTGACAGGTACCTGGGTTTAACTCACAGGGCGCAGTAATAGCTACGATCCTGTTGCTAACTACCTACATACCACTCAACATAGTGATGGTGCTTCTCATCTCCTTCCTGTTCAATAAAGCTGAGCAGTGCTACTCTTACCTGCCTGAGATTTTGATCTTGGTACGTCTAATGTCACGTGTAAGCTATACATATATGTATTTAGATGAATACACATATTGTGTTAGATAGGATGGTGTGGTTGAGTGGTAGAGCGTTTGACTGCTAACCGGAGAGTCTCAAGTTTGAATCCCAGGCTTGAGTCTGTACAATGTCCCTGAGTCCAGATTTGATGGGTACATGACTCACGTTAGGGAAAGTACAGGCTTTTGGGCATAGTACTGACCACACTATCTCTTCATGTGCTGAGGTAACTAACACATATGAACTCTACTTCACCTGCCTCATGGACCATAAGGTAGTGCCATTTTGCCTGTTTTTTCCTTAAAAGTACAGGCTTTTGGGCATAGTACTGACCACACTATCTCTTCATGTGCTGAGGTAACTAACACATGTGAACTCTACTTCACCTGCCTCATGGACCATAAGGTAGTGCCATTTTGCCTGTTTTTTCCTTAAAAGTCTTACAATCCTAATTTTTTAAAATTATTGTGTTATGTGAAATTGAAATTGGTTGTGGTTTTTTTTTTCTTCAAGAAAACATAAGAAACTTTATATTAGTTCTCTTTGAGCATAGTTCAGCATATGAAGCTTTGGGTTATCAAAAATGTATGGGTTTTAAATTTGTAACCAGCAGTTGCACTATATTTTGTCCCTCTCTGGCAAACTCTTACAAGTCATGAGGGGGATGCATGTATCAATGCTACCTAACACTGTTGTGTCACCCACTCTATGATACACCATCACATTTATTGCTGTAGATATCAATGCTACCTTACACTGTTGTGTCACTGACTGATACACCATCACATTTATTGCTGTAGATATCAATGCTACCTTACACTGTTGTGTCACTGACTGATACACCATCACATTTATTGCTGTAGATATCAATGCTACCTTACACTGTTGTGTCACCCACTCCATGATACACCATCACATTTATTGCTGTAGATATCAATGCTACCTTACACTGTTGTGTCACTGACTGATACACCATCACAGTTATTGCTGTAGATATCAATGCTACCTTACACTGTTGTGTCACCCACTCCATGATACACCATCACAGTTATTGCTGTAGATATCAATGCTACCTTACACTGTTGTGTCACCCACTCCATGATACACCATCACATTTATTGCTGTAGATATCAATGCTACCTTACACTGTTGTGTCACCCACTCCATGATACACCATCACATTTATTGCTGTAGATATCAATGCTACCTTACACTGTTGTGTCACCCACTCCATGATACACCATCACATTTATTGCTGTAGATATCAATGCTACCTTACACTGTTGTGTCACTGACTGATACACCATCACATTTATTGCTGTAGATATCAATGCTACCTTACACTGTTGTGTCACCCACTCCATGATACACCATCACATTTATTGCTGTAGATATCAATGCTACCTTACACTGTTGTGTCACCCACTCTATGATACACCATCACATTTATTGCTGTAGATATCAATGCTACCTTACACTGTTGTGTCACCCACTCTATGATACACCATCACATTTATTGCTGTAGATATCAATGCTACCTTACACTGTTGTGTCACCCACTCCATGATACACCATCACATTTATTGCTGTAGATATCAATGCTACCTTACACTGTTGTGTCACCCACTCCATGATACACCATCACATTTATTGCTGTAGATATCAATGCTACCTTACACTGTTGTGTCACCCACTCTATGATACACCATCACATTTATTGCTGTAGATATCAATGCTACCTTACACTGTTGTGTCACTCACTGACTGATACACCATCACATTTATTGCTGTAGATATCAATGCTACCTTACACTGTTGTGTCACTCACTGACTGATACACCATCACATTTATTGCTGTAGATATCAATGCTACCTTACACTGTTGTGTCACTCACTGACTGATACACCATCACATTTATTGCTGTAGATATCAATGCTACCTTACACTGTTGTGTCACTGACTGATACACCACAACTCAGCCACTGGGCAACCGCTATTCACTACATTTGCTGTGTTTTTGATCCTCCATATATTGTCTTTGGAGGATTTCACTATATAGTTCGGGTAAGCTTTTAATTCACCACCTCTATCTTAGAATAAAAAAGTACAATTAAAACTTTTTAATGGGAACAAAACAAAATAACTAATTTACAAACATTTGTTTAAATAATTATTTGTTTGGCGTCTCTTTAACTGATCTATTACTTGTTGATTCAGATATATAGAATTGCTGAACAAAATAAAGAAGAGGTCTCCACGAGTGATTACTTTAAGTTTGAAAACCATGTTCTCTTTGCTATTGTTATTGTGAGTATGATAAAAAGGAAACTTTTTTCATTATTTTAAATTATTAACATTTGAGATATATATCCTTATTTTATCATTTCTGTAAACTTTCAGCCTTTTGTCAATTATTTTTGGATGTACATCCTGCTTTGTGTATTGGATATAAAAAAGAATGGAGGAGATATCAAGGATGCTTTCCCCTGCCATCCTAGTTCAGTTAGTGAAGCTCCTGTCAGGAACACAGACAGCTACCAAGACCAGGATGAAGATGTGAGAGCAGAGAGGATGAGAATTGAAAACCTAAACACTAGTGGAGCTAAGGTATGTTGATATCACATTATATATTCAACCTGTCTCGTCTATTGGTCACAATGTTTTGAATGGCAGCTGGACATTACCCTCATACCCCAGTCCCATAACATTACTCCAGGGGAACTACTCCATTGTCTTTACCCCACTCTTCCTCAACCTTACCCCCAAGTGAAAACCCTCCCCCCCCCTGTCTATCACTTATCCCCCTGTCCTTTCCATTGATACGAAACAAACTTTGCTAGACATAAACCTTTTATGAACATATAATTGTAATTTTAAGACTTTATTGATGGTTATCTTGTATAGATCAAGTAAAAACAAAATATTGATGTTTTGACCCCTTTTTTATAAAAAACTATAATCGCCCATCCCGTTAACACCTAACCTGTTGTTTATCACATTAGCCTATGTGGTAAATGAATTATTTGTTTTGTATAGATAGATACATTTGTCTCAAATCAACTCTAACAAATTATTTAAGACACATTGGTTTTTTTTTATTAGACACTTTGTTTATATATATTCTGTTACCATAGCAACCAGTGGCCTACACCTATGAGCTTAGAAAAGATTATGTCAAGAGAACAAACAAAACAAGCCTATGCAACACAACCTCCATGAAAACAAAAACAGCAGTGCGTAACTTGAGCATTGGTGTGGATGAAGGTGAGGTCCTGGGTCTGTTGGGACCCAATGGAGCTGGGAAAACAACAGCTCTCAGTATGATCATAGCAGAGACAAAGCCAACTTGTGGCCAGGTGAGAAGATAAGGACATGTTTTTAACAAGCAGCGATGGTGTGGTCTGATTGTAGAGTACATGCTGGCTAATGTGAAAGTCATGGGTTTAAGAATGAGTTTTAGGTTTTAGCAAGCAGGGATGGTGTGGTCTAACTGTAGAGTACATGCTGGCTAATGTGAAAGTCATGGGTTTGATGCTCTAGTCTGAGTCCCTGGGTCATCCCCAATCCTAGCATCTAGCACCCACCTACACCCTGCAATATCCAACATGGTTGTGCCATATAAGAAAGAAATATTATGCTGGATAATGGATAGCTCATAAAGATCTGGAAACTTGAGTGTGGTAAATGCTTATTTTTACTTTCTACTCTGTGTATATTTTACAAATTTTCAACTCCAATCCAAAATCTCTGAAAGCTGGTCATCACTGACAAGGGAAGGCACCCAACTATAATTTGTTATAATAGCTGCCTACAGGGAATATTAGCTATAAAATTGCTTGATAAAGTAGCTAACAGTTTTAGAAAGGGCATGACAAATCCCAGTAATACATTAAGAAAGACAACAACAAGCATTATTAGGCAAACAAAGGAATATTATTGGAAAGAATTGGAGAAAATAACAAATAACAGAAATACTCCACTGCACTTTAGGTAATTTTTAATGGCAACAACTAAATTTCTAGCATATCTGATAATTTTTAGGTAATTGTAAATGGCCACAACAAAATTTCTAACATATCTGATAATTTTACGTAATTGTAAATGGCCACAACAAAATTTCTAACATATCTGATAATTTTTAGGTAATTGTAAATGGCCACAACATAAGATCCCACATGCTGTCAGTGATGGCTTGTCTAGGCTACTGTCCACAACATGATGCATTGTGGGAAACTATCACACTTAAGGAGCACTTAGAGTTTTATGCAGCTGTCAAAGGGGTTTCCTCCAAACATATTGGAAAAGTTGTGAACTAGTAAGTTGTGTTTTAGTTTTATAGCTAGTTAGATGTGCTTTTAGGTGGGATCTAGTTAGTTGTGTTTTAGTTTTATAGCTAGTTAGATGTGCTTTTAGGTGGGATCTAGTTAGTTGCATTTTAGTTTTATAGCTAGTTAGATGTGCTTTTAGGTGGGATCTAGTTAGTTGTGTTTTAGTTTTATAGCTAGTTAGATGTGCTTTTAGGTGGAATCTAGTTAGTTGTGTTTTAGTTTTATAGCTAGTTAGATGTGCTTTTAGGTGGAATCTAGTTAGTTGTGTTTTAGTTTTATAGCTAGTTAGATGTGCTTGGGTTTTAGTTGGGTTCTTGTTGTAGGTCTATATCTTTTTGGGGACAGGTTTGTTGTGTTTTTATTTGGGATCAAGTTAGTTAAATTTTAGGTATGTAACAGCTTAGTTGTGTTTTGGTGTTTTTAATGATGTAACTATTTATATTTTTAATTGAGCTCTAGTTAGTGCTTTGATTAAAATTAACTAATGTCTTTCTGTTCACTTCATATGTTTATCCTTGATCTTACTCCCATTTTTAACTAGTTTATTTTTTAAAATCCTAATTTATAATTTGTCTCCTTTATTTTTAACCTTATTGCTGACCAGTTATCTAGAAAATATGAACTTAAGGCAACATAGAAATAAACAAGCTTTAACCTTATCAGGAGGAACCAAAAGAAAGGTCAGATTTAGTTTTTGTAGGAGTTACATAATTTAAAACCAAAACACCAATAAGGTTTTCCTTTTTTTTAATACATATATTGGTCACTAATATGTTAATGAAATGTTGAATAGAATATTTTTTTCTTATACTAGTTGAGCTACCTTCTAAGCATACTTGGATCACCCCAGTTAGTTTTATTGGATGAACCATCAACTGGCATGGACCCTCAATCTAAACGGTTTTTATGGTAAAGGTTTTACATGTTTCTTTTGTAGGGTTTTTAAGAAATTGTTCAAACTATTTTTATATGATTTGTAGTAAAAGTTTTGAAAATTTGAATTGTTTATATTTAACTTAAAAAAAAATTCAATATCAAACAAAAGCTGACTTCATTTTAGAAATCATTAAAAAAATTTAAAATCCATTTTTTTACAAACTTGAGGCCTGACTGTATCATCTATTTCAGGAATACAATCAGTGCTGACTTTAAAAACACAAACAGGGGAGCTATACTGACAACACATTACATGGAAGAGGCTGATGCCCTGTGTGGACGTGTGGGCATCATGGTCAACGGTCAGCTTGAGTAAGTCTGATGTATGTGAGAAATATATTTACCTGTTTGGTCTGACAAAGTCTGATGTATGTGAGAAATATATTTACCTGTTTGGTCAGACAAAGTGATGTATGTGAGAAATATATTTACCTGTTAGGTCAGACAGTCTGATGTATGTGAGATATATATTTACCTGTTTGGTCAAAGTCTGATGTATGTGAGAAATATATTTACCTGTTTGGTCTGCTAGTGTCTTGTGTGTGAGAAATATATTTACCTGTTTGGTCTGCTAGTGTCTTGTGTGTGAGAAATATATTTACCTGTCGGTCAGCTTATAAGAGAATGGACCAGTCATCAGGTAGATGTCACCTACATGTAAGTGGGGGTGTGTAATTGGGGTGGGGGATAGGTAAACAGCTGGTCAGTACTACTAGTTTTGTTTGTTGTTTTGTTGATCTCCTGAGATAACATATTTATTTCACTGTCCTTCTGATTATGTACAATGAATTGAACTAATCATGTCATCACTATGTCAATCAAGTATTCTTATTATGAAATAAAAGCCATAGCATACCCTTTAAGTAATCTAGTGAAATGTAATTTTGCATTTCTCCGTCTAAAAGATGCCTGGGTTCAACCCAACACCTGAAGAACAAATATGGCAGTGGATATTATCTTGATGTTAAACTTGCAGGAAATGTTTCATCAGAGATGGAAGTATGCATGGATGATCTTGAAAATCATTTGAAAACTTTATTTCCAGGTGAACGATGCTGTAGACTGGTACAAGTGTCTCTTTTTTTTTCAAAAAATATTTGTTGTAGATTTGTACAACTTTATCCTGTTTTATTATAGACTAGTATAACTTTATTCTGTATTATAGTGTTAGGTAGTTTATCATATTTATTGGCATATTTTTAAAAAAAGATTTTTTGATACACTTAAAATAATTTTTATCTTAAATAAATTTTTTTAAAAATCTATCACATTATCCCAATATCCCTACCATAACAAGAGCTACAATTATGGTAATAATTTTCAAACAGCATTAACTGTTTTGCTTAGCATTTATATAACTTTATTACACCATTTTGTTTTAGAAATGTATTTAATTTTTATTTTGGTGCTGTTTTAATTTATTTATGTTTTTTTCAATTACCCTTGATTTAATAAATGTATGATGTATATAAGCTTACACTAATTTATAGACGTTAATGCTTTAGCAGCCCTTTTGAAAACTAGAAAAAAATTATACCTTGGGTTTTTCAGGTCTAGAAAATGTTGAAAGGTTTCAAGAAAGAGCCCAGTATTCTATACCCAAAGATGATGTGAAAAATTTAGGCGTAACATTTAGTCATCTTGAAAGCTGTAAGATAACTGTTTGATATTTTTTATTTGTCCAGTTAAATGTGAAGTTCAATGAGAGTAAGAACTAACCTAATGTTAAGTTAATTTAATGATAGAAAATGTTCAACAGTAAAAATATAAGTCAATTATTGTGTTACAGGTAGATCTACCCATGGGCTGGAAGAATACAATTTTAGCCAGAGTACACTAGAGCAGGTACACACACGTTTTTATTTCTTTTCTTTGTTTCATTGTTGTATTACATTTATTTAAAAATATTCTGTTTATGATGATGTAATTGTGTGTTGATGTCAGCTGGTATAAATCTAGGGATAGCCCCACATACATTAGATCACAAGCTGGTATAAATCTTGAGGCTATTTTGTTTTAGTCCATAGGACGTCAGTGATAAAATATTATTTATAATAGAATGACTATGTATTTATATATCTTTAAACATTTTAAAAAATGCGATGTTTTCTTGTTAAAGATTTTTTTTAATGTACGTTGAATATAACTTAAATGTAATCTTCTAGTTTAAGAATAAATGTTTAATTTTTTTGTTGTTGTTCCAGGTTTTTCTACATTTTGCCAAACTTCAGACGGTTGAAGATGATGTGTATGCTAGTGATAGACCCAAACGTTTGTCTATACAGAAGTGAGCTGGTTTGTCTTGTCCCACTGGTCGTGATATGTCAACACCTGGTGGCTCTATCAACACCAGATGGTATCAACATACCTTCATTGTGTTTTACAACACCAGATTGTATCAACATCAGACCATGGTCTTGTTTCAACACCAAACTGTACCAACACTAGACCATGGTGTTGTACCAACACCAGATTGTATCAACACCGGATGGTATCAACACTAGACCATAGCTATGTACTTTACTTAACATTATTATTTGTTGGATATTATTTGTTGGATACTCTTGTCTCAAATAATGACATGATGCTTTAATTTTTTGACATGTATTAAAATGAATTCTGTCTTTAAGCTTTTTTTAATCTGCAATATAATCTTGAGTTGTGTCCCCTATTATCCTAGTAGTAGTGTTGATGACTTGATGTATTAAATGATAGAAAATTACGCACTAAACATCGATAATTTACTGATTAACATAACTACGTCAAATCAAGATGACACTGGAAGTTTCTTAAAATTTGTTTTCAGCTGGTCATATATTTACTTTTTGTTCGCTTCATTTTGAAAAGAATATTCTTGTACCTTTTATGAGATCACACTGACTAAATAAACTCCCCCATACATGAATCTCTTCCCACTGTTTAGTATAGAGGCAAACGTTTTTTTTTTAAAGTAAGCCAATCTTTAGTTTTGAAGTTGAACAACAAATTGTCATGGAAAAGTTTATTTTCACTGTTATTTCCCTTTGCTTGTTTATTCCTTAGTGAAAAAAAAAATATAGCACCTCAGTTTATAAATATGTATTGCCGCTGAATTAAACATTTCAATTATTTATATGAGTTCACTCATGGTAAGTATCTCAACGTGTAATACTAAAAACAATTATTTTTAAGATTTTATAAAAATTGGAATACATTTCATTTGTAATTCCTCGAAATAAAAAAAAAAGATCTACCTACCTTATTGTGCACGCGACCTTTGCCACATAAATCATTAACTCATATATCTCTAACACTCATCTCATTGTTTAAAAAAAAAGTTTCCCCCTAATTTTTAATTTGTTTAAATGTCGTGAATGAGTAGTAAAGCTGCTTATTAGAAGGAATGGTTTGGCTAAAGTTATCAATAAAATACATTTTTAAAATTTATTTTGTACTAAAAAAAAAACCCCACTGTTATGTAAAAGGTTAAGAAAAAAAAATATTCACTAGCTTGTGGATAGATACTAAAATACATGTTAGAAAAAACATGAAACATCGATAAACACCTTAAGACAAGAATTGATTTTTTTTCTAAAGTTAAAGATAGAAATGACGTTTTTGACCTTTTAGATAGCTTAGGTTGGACACAAGATAATCCTCTCTGTATTCAGTCGCGTCAGACGGGCTGCCGTCTTCGTATAGTAAGCTTGGTCTGGCTTCATAGGTCTATGTATATATATTATATATATAATATATATATATAACGTCCTATATATATATGACCTATATACATTTAAGACACATATATATATATGTATATGCATATATGTATACATATATATATATACATATATATATATATATATATATACATATATATATATATATATATATATACACACACACATATATCCCATGTATATTTAATATATATGGACCTTTCAACCAACCTATTATCACAATCACAAGGTTAGTTTATTCGGCTACTGAAATCATAGGTCTAATCATTGCTAATTTCAAACAGTGAAGTAGTAAAACAAACAATGGTCAACAAATAGTTTTGGATTCTATTAAATACGACATTCATTTACAGCTGTATCCACATAGTGTTTCATAACGCATTAGCAGAAAATGTTTGTATTGATGAAACTGTTGAGTTTCTTTGATTTTTTGCCAGATAAACTTTTTCGACCACTTACCAGGTAAACTGTATTAACTACTTGGCCAGGTAAACTTTATTTAGACCAAATTACAGGTAAACTTTATTCGAATGGCCATAAGTGCGCACATGGCTGGCAACTCGTTTTGCACGCGACCGTTTCAGCTAGTTTAAATAGAGTACTTGTGCTACTGAATTGACCTAAGCGGGAGAATGGTACACCTTAGAGTCATCCCTTGTGGTGTCATGTCTTGTGTCATCCCTTGTGGTGTCATGTCATGTCTTGTCTTGTGGTGTCATCACTTGTGGTGTCATCACTTGTGGTGTCATGTCTTGTGTCATCCCTTGTGGTGTCATCCCTTATGGTGTCATGTCTTGTGTCATCCCCTGTGGTGTCATCCCTTATGGTGTCATGTCTTGTGTCATCCCTTGTGGTGTCATGTCTTGTCGTGTCTTGTCTTGTGGTGTCATGTCTTGTGGTGTCATCCCTTGTGGTGTCATGTCTTATGGTGTCATGTCTTGTGTCATGCCTTGTGGTGTCACCTTTGTGGAGTCATCCCTTGTGGTGTCATGTCTTGTGGTGTCATCTCTTGTGGGGTCATCCCTTGTGGTGTCATGCCATGTGGTGTCATGTCTTGTGGTGTCATATCTTGTGTCATGCCTTGTGGTTTCATCCCTTGTAGTGTCATGTTTTGTGGTGTCATCTCTTGTGGTTTAATGTCTTAAAAATCACCCTTGTTAGAGTAGCTACCCCGTACTAAACACATGAAAGCCTTAAGCGGAAATAATTTCTATTGGCCCTTACTAAAATAAAGTAACCGAAACTTAATTTTTCCTACAATTATTTTACCTACACTAACATTATTCGATAAACTGACTAGATAGTTCGTTATTTGACAGAAAAAATAATTTCCCCAGTAAACATAATAAAACAAAAATAAGCAGACCGCTTCAAGTACCAAAGAACAGCAAAACGTTCAAAGCGCCGTTTTCCGGTGCAGTATTTAATGACGCCTCCTCGCTTTAGTCCTTCCTGTTTAAATATTCCATTACATCGTTCCTGATACCACTATTGTGACTCGTCGCTTTAATAGCCCCAACTTTTCAGCATCTTTTCATCCATTATTAACTAGCTGTTTGGGTCAAATCGCTGCTGGATTATGGGTAAAAGGGAGTAGGCCTATGTGGTATACCAGCGTCCGATAATGCCACAATAATGGAATCTTCTTTTAAAAAGGGGTGTTAGATCACTTGTAGTTAACTAATTACAAATATGACTTGATTATATCAACGCTAATCCTATCCCTCACTTAAAGACTAAACCAATTTCTTCCATGGCTATCACCTTAATTTCTGATCGTAACGCTAACCCTAAGATTACAGTACAACTACCGACCTAACACACCTATTTTTGGAAGTCTACTGTAGAACAATACTCCTGGTAAAAGCATTGAGCCCCCCCCCCTCCCCACGGGTTGGAAACGACGCTTCAATCCCGACAAGTGGTGGTCAACGCTGGTCAAAATAAACTTGCCCGCGCCCATCTCCCCAGCGGCTGGTCGCAATTTAGTACTTAGCCAAAGCTAATTTAGCAAGACGTTTCTGAGCGGGGAAAGCGCGCGCCGCTTTTAGCGTAAGCTGACAATTTTCTCTGCTTGTGTGTGGGATTAGCTGGGGCTGTTCGCAACACTGGGCCGTGGTAATCAAGTCGGGTACAACAATCTCGGTGCTTATTAATGTGTCGGCAGGACGTATTTGGGGCGATTATTTTTTGTTAGTATCGCCGGCCACAATTTTAGAGATAAGTTCCTACTTTAGTTCTGACTTGAAGACATCGTGTATTTTATATAACAGAGGGGTGGGGATCTGTGTTTTTTTTAGACATTTTTCTCCGTGTGGGGGTGGTTGAAATATATTTCTTTTATTTTATTCGTGTGGAGGGGCAGTTTTAGTGCTTCGTGGTGGGGGTGGGGGGGGGGGGGGGGGGGAGGACAATAATGCTGTCTCCCTCCATCTCAAGAAGAAAGGCCTGAAAGAGACTCTGGTAGCTAATTATGATATATTGTAAAAATATTTTGTAAAATACCCTAATATTAAGTATAATATACTATATACAGAAATTGGCCGTGTCGAGAAGTTTTGTAAAATTGTTTGAATTACTTTGATTTTCGCAAAAGTTCTGATTTTTAGAGTAATGCATTGGCGTCATACATTATTAAGTTTAACTCAATTTAACTTTTAACGCTTTTTTTTCAATGAAGAAAAAATGATTATAATTGGTTATATTTAGTGTTATAATTCTATTACATTTACATGGCTCCCAGTTCACTCACACACACAAACACACACAAACACACACAAACACACACAAACACACACACACACACACACACACACACACACACACACACACACACACACACACACACACACACACACACACACACACACACACACACACACACACACACACACACACACACACACACACACACACACACACACACACACACACACACACACACACACACACACACACACACACACACACACACACACACACACACACACACACACACACACACACACACACACACACACACACACACACACACACACACACACACACACACACACACACACACACACACACACACACACACACACACACACACACACACACACACACACACACACACACACACACACACACACACACACACACACACACACACACACACACACACACACACACACACACACACACACACACACACACACACACACACACACACACACACACACACACACACACACACACACACACACACACACACACACACACACACACACACACACACACACACACACACACACACACACACACACACACACACACACACACACACACACACACACACACACACACACATATATATATGAGGATGTGTACTTAAAAATACCCCATTAGGAAGCAAATCCTGCCAAAGCCACACTTGTGCAGATCACCTAGCAGAAGTAGAAGTTAGCCTGTAAACAGCTGGATTAAAGGGGGGGAGGGGGGTCCAGTCTGATGCTCTCATTCTGTTTCATTGATCATAGCGTACGATACCTTATTTAAATTAAAAAAAAACTTTTGCCTTTTTTTTATTTCACTTAAATTGCAATCTTTTAAAGAGATATCACAATGAGGCCGTTTAGGAGAATTGTGTCCCCTGAATTTAAGTAAACAATTTTTAGAAGATTGTAGCTTTTTAAACAAAGGAAGATGGGGCAGTGGAGGTTACTCGTCTTTTTGTACCTCTATGTAAACGTATTTATACTTGACTTATTTGATCTTAATCTCAGGTATACATTCTAATAAGCATAACATGTAGCAAAGTGACTTGAGTTATTCCATTCTGGCCCATGGGGAGCAAATGTCTGGAGCCACACCTCTCCACCGGACACAGGTTTTGGGCAGCTCTTCTTATTTACGTCCTCGTTATTCCGGCAGCCCTTGCTTCTTCTACTGTTTTTCTTCTACTCTTCCTTTCCCCCTGGGATTTCATGTAGCAAGGGATTAGCTGTAAAATATATTTGTAGCGTAGTGAATAGTTTTTCTTAGAATAAGTGAATATAATTATGTATATATATATATATATATATATATATATATATATATATATATATATATATATATATATATATATATATATATATATATATATATATATATATATATACGTAACGTAATTTATATTTTCTAAAAGAAGGTTACCGATCCCTGCCCTAGTTTAAGCTTGTCTATCCAAAAATCCCCAAAGATAATTTTCTATCGCTACCCGAGCCCAACTGGTCTAAGAATTGATAGATCACGTGTCCGTGATTTCACGCACGTCTGCCCGGGTCAGACAACGTGGGCACCGGACCGTGAAGATCTGGTATAGATGTGACGTCACTCCGTCTGGTCATCTGGCCAGATAAATGTTAGATCGTGACAGAAGACAAATTGGCGGACAATCTGGCAAGTGATCACAGCACATGTATTCCTCGTCATTGTCATCGTTTCTTTCAGGAGTCTCTCCAGGAAGGGTGGGGGGGGGGGGGGGGGGGGGGGGGGGGGGGGGGGAGGAGAAGCGACGAAATATAGAAAATTTAAAGTAAAGCAGTAAAGTTCCCCTTTCAAGCCTAACAGTCTATGGGGCAAGTGAAATAGAGTTCACATGTTTCTGTGACCTCGGCAT